ACCAAATACCGGTTTTTTAGTCTCCGTATCACGATACGTATCACGCAATAAAAAATTGCGATACACCGGTATATCGATAAAATCGCACATCCCTAATGACTACAATAGGGAATCAACGTTTTACATGGGAGTACGGGTATAAAGGTAAAATAAACCCTTTCAAATATTTTTAGGAAACACTGGGTCAGAAAAGAGGAAACCTGTGTGAAAGCTTTATTTTTCTATGGTAAACCCAAAATATCTGTCAGATGAAAAAATAGAAGGTGGACAATGGCATTATGTAAGAAAGATTCCGTGAAAGTCTAAAGAAATTTTACTCAGTGGTATAGAAGAAGTTGCTGATAGGAGATAAGGACCTCAATGTTATAGAAAAAAATGACAGTGTCCATGTTTTGCTGTGGGAAACCCCAAATATCAGTCTGATCGAAAAGTAAAATAGGAGGTGCACTATGCAATAAAGATTCTGTGAAAATCTGATTAAATTTTATTCAGTGGTATGGAGAAGAAGTGGATAAGAGATGGGTACTCCCTATGTAAGGGAAAGAATTGCAGTGTCCATATTTGCTATGGGTAACACTATTTATCTGCCCTTTCGAAAATGAAATGGGACTTAACATTGGCACTATGTTACAAAGGTTCTATGAAAGTCATATTAAATTTTATTCAGTGGTAAAGAAGGAGTTCCATGTAAAGGAAGGGTAGCCCCATTGTGACTAATGCACGGAAGGACGTACAGAAGGACGTATGACGTATGGAAGGACGGACACCCCCATCACTACATATCCTGAATCATTCGACCACGGTGGATAATTAAACAAGAAAAGTAAATAAAGAAAGCATTTCTCTATTACTTCTTACAAATGATATTAATCCTAAGGCCTACGATGGTTAATCAAAGAAAGGCAAGATTAGTCCATGAACGAAGCATTTCTCCAGTACTGATTTACAAAGCAAAGGTTTTGCTTACACCTATTAGGTCTCATATTATGGCGATTTTCCAGTGTTCCAACAGTAGCGGTTGCACAGCTGTACGTTTCGTTTGTTTCTTGTTCACTCAGGCGACTACTTGCTATCTGTTTTTGTCTGTCGTCGAGCGTTGTACGTCGAGTGCCGGCCGTACATTTTGAACATTTTCAGCTTCTTCTCATAAAGCGCTGAATCATTTTCAACCAATTTTAGCATAGAGCATCTATGGGCAAAGAGGTAAAAAAAAATTGTGAATTCCATGGTCCCTGTCCCCTGGGGCCTGAGGGGGTGTGGCCAAAACCTTTAACCTTAATGCAATTTTCAAAACTGCACTTTACTAGCACTCCGGGACAACAAGCAGTAAAACTGTTGGCAAGAGTATAATAAGCAATGAATCTTATCAAAATTATGAAATTCATGGCCCTAGGGGCAGGGGTTATGGAGGTAAGGTGAGGCTTTATTGAGTAGGGTATTTAGCAAATAAACCAAGTGCATAGATATGATGAGCAAGAGTACATGTATCTTCTAAAATAATGAAATTCTGGAACTCTGACTCACGTTTTCTGGTGTTAGGGTGGGACTCTATTGATTATATAGTGAACATGCATCAATGATTTGAAAATCCTCATATATGCTTCTGGGCATCTAGGATGCAAACAGAGTACAAAGTTAAAATGAGCAAGGGAATTTTTACCAGATTTGTAAAATTCTGAACTATTTGGTTCGGTGTTCTGGTGCTGGACAGGCCGGGCTCTATTGATCTTGTTTTAAAATGTGTACGCAACTGAGAGTAGTTATTCCCCTTTGCTACTTATTCATGTATGATAATTAATCGTTGTAAATATTGTACTTCATATGTCAGTTGAATAAAGGAATTATACAAAAAATTTACTGTATAATACTAAAAGTACTTTCATGGTTTTTAATGGTCAGGTAGACTTGTAAATCATAAAAAAATAAAATAAAAACAAAACAATAAAAAACAAAAATAAAATGAGATAAAAATACCTTATATTTGTAAAATAAATATTCTTCAAAGAGGCCTATGTGAGAGGGAATGGGCTTATTGTAAGTGCCCAAGCACTACATTGTTTTGGTTTATCTGCCTGGCGATTAGTGAGATATAGGAATGTATTATTAGCACTTGCAAGTATAGGCAAGTAGATAGATCTATGATTTTTTTTACTTACTAACTATTTTTATTGATCCCTGATAATCTATTTTTCTTTCTTTTGGCCATCAAAGCTTTATATATCATTTTTTGTTGGTCTTATTTCAACTTTTGTTGGATCCTTTACTGTATTGTATTATACTCTGGTGACCGTAAAGGCTCTTGGACCTCTTGTTTTTATGCTCCCGCTTGAAAATCGGAGGTATATTATATACAGTGATTGGGGTGTCCATCCGTAAGTCCATAGTCTTTCCGTCCATAAAACTTTGGGGAACCCATCTCTTTTCCGCAACTCCTCTTACACCACTGAATAAAATTTAATGAGACTTTCCCAGAATCTTGACGTAGTGCCATTTTGCATCTCCTATTTACTTCTCGTACAGATACTTCGGGTTTCTCACATCAAAACAAGAACACTGCCATTCTTCAATACTGAGGGTAGCCATCTCCAATCCATCTCCAATCCGCACCTCCTCCTATGGCACTGAATAAAATGAGACGAGACTTTCACAGAATCTTCCTTACATAGTGCAACTCCTATATTTTCTTTTTAATCAGACAGATACCATGGGTTCCCTATAGCAAAACATGGACACTACCATTCTTTCTAAAATATTTGGGGGTACCCATCTCTTATCCGCAAGTCCTCCTATACAACTGAATGAAATTTAATGAAACTTCTACAGATTCTCTATTACATTGCCATTGCGCATCTCATTTTTCATTGCTTTTGTCAGACAGATATTTGGGAAAAGTATGGCAAAACATGGACACTGCCATTCTTTCTATAATAATAGAAGTACCCATCTCTTATCCGCAACTCCTCTTATACCTCTTAATAAAATTGAATGAGACTTTCACAGGCTCTTTAAAGCATAGTGTCATTGTGAACCTTCTATTTTTCTTTTCAATCAGAGATATTTGGGGTTTCCCTTAGCAAAACATGGGCACTGTCATTCTTTCTATAACATTGGAGGTACCCATCTCTTATCCCCAATTCCTCCTTTACCACTGAATGAAATTTAATGTAACTTTCCTAGAATCTTTATTACATAGTGCCATTGAGCACCTCTTATTCTACATTTCGACTGAACAGATATTTGGGGTTTCCCACAGAAAAAAATGGAATTTGCCTTTATACTCATATGGTAGCAGGGGTATCATTTTATGAACGGGGTGCTCACAGTTCTTCTAGTTTAAATACAAAAATTTTGAAGTCGGTAGCAATGAATGACAGTGTTAATGTTCTAGTATAAAAGACATCAAATAGTTTCCTCAAATCGAATCATAGAATAGAAGATGTACAATGGCACTATGTAAAAATGAGTCGGTGAAAGTTGCATTTAGTTTTATTCAGTGGTATAGGAGGAACCGCAGATAAGGGATATGTACCTCCAAGCATTACAAACATACAGAAGGATGTAAGGACGGATATACCCCCACCACTATATACCCCTCCCCCCCCCCACTTTTCAAGCCATATGGCTATAAAATTTTCATTCATCTCTGAAAGAGATATTATCCAGTTTAAGCATCCTAGTATATTTTGCACGATATCATATTACTTAAAAATATATAGTTTCAAGATTATTTTTTTTAAATTCTCATGGATTTCATACATGTTCTCACATGAAAATGTGCGTAAAAAGATTTCATGCATATTCATTATGGAAAGACATCGAATGAAACCATTATAACTTTTTGACATCCTTGTTAACCTTGGTGACGAAGCGCACTTCTGTGAGGGCGGATCGCCACATCCTTAGTGAACGAATATGATTGGCATAGAGACAAAAATTTGCTGGACAACCATACTTTTTTGTTGTTATGAAACCACGTTTTATTTCGAATGTTAGTCGAATGTATATCAATTAGAGGTGTCTGGCACATGTTCAATACACATGCTTCAAAAATAGAGATGTCCGGTTGCTAAACTATATATTGAATGACAGAATATCCCTTTTTGCTTTTGAAACCGAAATTTCTGTTAATTTTCAAAATCACCGCAACTATGAAAAGAACAAAAAATACCCCCAAAGAATTTAAATCTAAAATCTTTTCAAATAAATACAATGTGAAATGAAATTCAAACTTCCAGAGGTGTAGGCAAACAAACATCTGTGAATGTACAATGTTTCAAAAGTTTAATTACAAGAATTGCACGACCTTGTTTCTCTACATTTAAAGTAATCTGAATGCATATCAAATGTAGAGAAAACACACGGCAGGTGTGATCGGTCGACAGGGGATGCTTCCTCCCCCAATGTACCTGATCCCACCTCTGATGTTTCTAGGGGTCCGTGTTTGCTCTGCTCCAAATTTGTTCTGTTTAATGGATTTTGCGCTCGATTACTGTTCGTTATCTTCATACTTCATCTGTAGGTTTGTATAGCCGCACAAACCTATGCTATTATTTCTAGACGTAGTAGGTACTAGTAAGTATTATTAATGCATGCTCATGGAGTCGATATATATATACGTATATTGTTTTTAATATTTTAAAATGTGTGCATTTTTAAAATATACTTTTGGGGAGCGTTGATATATTGCCGCAAGTTCGTGCAATTCATGGTTTAATCAAATTACCAAGTTCCTTAGTGTATACATGTATATACCCTTATAAACGTCAAAAAGGGTGGCTGTTATTTTCTAAATGAATGTTTTAAAGAAGATAGATTTCCGCTGTTTATAATTTAATTCCGTGGATCCAGCATTTAACTTTATTCATATTGACACCTAGATAAATATTTGGAGTTATATCCACCGCTTTTGGTTCAACATATTTGAAAGATCGGTGTTTTATCAGAATGCTTGGCGACTTCTACTGCATCCAAATATCAGATTTATACATATTCCACTAATACTTCTGGCTTTTGTGGATTGTCTGTTGTTTTATTGATGAAACAAAGAAGCTATCTGAGATATTTTATTACTTTCAACTTAGCTGTATGGTACTCCACAACAAAGAGGTTACCGTCTGAATTTAAACTTATACCCACTGGTTTCTCTAGAAACCCTTTCCCTATCAGTTTTAGAAAATGGCCTCCGTCGTCTAATAAGTGGATAAAGTTACTGTCAGCATCTGACACAAGTATTCGACCGTTTGAATCGGTAGCTATACTTCTAGGGTCAAAATATGGACATAACCTTGATGGTATGTTCCCATAGTAACGCCATCGAAATCGGCCCGCATTGTCGGTTGTAACTACTGCCTTGGCGTTTCGGTCTGATACACATACGTCTTGATTAGTGTTAACGGCGATGTAAACATCAAAATCACCAGGCATGTACAGAGGAAATCCCCCATCGTCGTACTGAATCTCTTGCGTTGGAGAATTATTGACGTAGCGAACGACCTTGACCTTTTGACCTCTTTGTTTTGGTACATCATTACGGTTGTCCATGCATAGCAAAATTTCACCAGATTCTGTCGAGCATATTCCTAGTGGATTCCATCCCTGTAATTTAATGTAGGGTTCGAATCTTCCTTTCTTCATTATGTTGACAGTTTTTTCTCCATAATCAGTGTAAACTAGATCTCCTTTTGACGTCATTGACAAATCAAATGGTGCTTGTTTGGACCTTGTGGAAACTTTCTCCAACATATTTCCCTGTATATCCACTTTAGCCACAGTTTCCACATCTCCGCTTATCCACGCTTGTTGGTCTTTCACGCACTGCACACTCCAGCACTTGTCAAACTTAGTGCTCACCTTGCGAATAACAAGAGGGTTATCTAGCACCGTCTGTTTCTCTTTAGGTGTCACTGTTGATATATTGATAACATATTCTCTAGACTTCTTCATCATCGAAGCTTTTAGTGCACCAAATCTTTCTGGGATCTGTACATTTTCCGTTTCGTTGTATTTAAAGACAGGTGCAATTATACTAGTGACTGTCGGAATATTCAAATATTCTTCATTTTTTGATTTATACATGCTTATTTCTGGAATATCATTATCCTCGAGAAGTTTCCTATTTTTATCAATCAGTGTTTGAATTTGAGCAATCAAATTAGCTATCATTTTCCTCTGTTCGCGAAGGTTTGCAAAATCTTCTTTTTCCATAATGTCTATTTTATCCAGACATTTCTTCACGGCATCGTCCACTGCTTTATGCCAAATTTCCCCGTTTAAGACCACTGCCTTTCTGGCCTGTTCATACCCACTGGTCAGCTTTAGAACATTCGTCTGTATCTGTGTTTCTACTTTTCTATACTCCGGTTGAATCACTTCTTCCAAACATTTTGTGTCACCAGAAATGCGCTCTCGTATTCTCATACAGTTCTCCATGACATTTTCGATGTCATGATTAAGATGTGCTTCGTTCGTACATTTATGGCATACTGCAATTTCGCACGGGCGACAGAAAAAATAGAGTTTACTTCCACTGTGATCTTGGCAGTTTTGGAAATAGCTATCAGATTCTTTCAGACTAACAGTTGTGATTGTACTTTTTCTTCTGGTTTTCTTTGAGGCCATGGTGTTCAGAAGTATGAGAGGAGGCAGATTGGTGTTCTGAAAAATAGCATGGATCGAACTGTTATAATCAATCGTCATTATAAATTATATACTTTGATAAACAAGCAAACTTCCTTTACTTTGTGTTGATAGTTTGGGACAGGGAAAACTCAGGTTTAAGGTATAGTGAAAACAAGAAAAAAAAAGTGGATATATAAAAGCAAGGGCCGGGAAAATTGTGGATATGGAGTTGCATGTATAGCGTTAATATATCTTTATAATATACTTGTAATAATAAGTCGAGATTAACTGACTGCTTTTAAACTTTTATTTAACTTAGGTATTTAGCTGCCCTATCATGCGCTTGAGAATAAATGCTCTTTGAAGAGTCCTGCTCGGTGTTTAAAGATCGAAGAAAACGTAAAGAGATGGGAGACAAATGTCCTACTCCCCTTCACACAAAAGTTCCCACCAAGCGGGGAACTGGAATTGTTACAAAGAAAAAATAAGACCAGAAAAAGTCATTCATGTGCAGTTGCTGTGATCAATGATATAAAATTTTACAAGAATCGGGAGTTCAGTTCCAGGCATAGGCTAAGAATGGAATCCATTGATAGTGGATGATTCCCAAAGTCATTTCAAAATTCTTCATGGTGAAGAATATGTCTTTTTCTGAAATATAGAACGGTGTTTTATTGGTTTACTTAACAGTTATATGGGCGTTTCTTGTGATAGTAAGATCATATTAAAAGAAATCTTCGTCATAAAGAATGGGCGGAGCAGAGCCCAACAAGAAACTTCTGCTGGCTACGGCCTTCTCATTAAACCACAATCATATAGAAAACTTAAAAAGATTCTTGATAGTAAATCAAAATCGATTTCATTTAAGTCCATGCTACTAATCTGAATAGGCTGGAGGTCCATTTTGAAACTGCGTGTGTTCTATACTGAGTGTGTGTTCGATATGTACAATGAGAGGTCAATTCAGGCATGACACAATCGTGGGAGGAGTTTATTTTTTAATCATTAATTTGATTGGCTCGGTTCTGTTCTTCTAAGTCAATTTTGAAATAGTATGAATGAATTGGACGTCTTTTCTGAATTTTTTTTTTCTTCTTTCGTAGAAATATATTATTAGAATAAGACATTTCTTTGCATTTGTATTTTTTAAAAAGTTTTCAAAAATAATATACACTTAAGGTTTTATATTTAATTTTTGAATTATTCCTGAATTTTCTTTGATATTGTTTTTTATCGATCATAATGATATAAATTCCATACTACATGTAATTGTATTACCAATCAATTCGAAATTACCAAGTACATTTCTAAGAAGTTTAGCAACTGCCTGTCTAGATTGAAAATTTGAGATACTAAGTAAAATAAGGTAAAGAGTTAATTTGGGAATTTAAGAAAGTGCAAAGAGATCACAAACTATTTGTAATTTTCTCGTTATGAATTGGGTGGAGGATTTAAAATGGGTGAAAGGATAGAATCTAAAAAGTCAACTCATAAAAGGCGTTCAAACCTTTCAATTCTTAACGCTGATTTGAAATGAATTTTGCACAAGACAGAAATCTCTTATGCTTTATAGAATGTAATATACAGTGTTATTTTTTACGCCACCAACTAAGACGTAAATATTTTCATTTTTGTTAAATTTATATCGGCATTTCCCATGTCAAAAGATACACTTTAAACGCCGTTCTGTAAGCTCTCCTGTTTAAATTTGATGAACACTGTCAAAAAATGAGAATTTATTTATGTGTTTCCTCATTAAAGAGTGTTCCCTATGAAGACTCCGGCTTAAAGAGTACATGTATACCCTACAACATATATTTACAAGTCGATATTCGGCAGTCTTAACGTCTTTTTTCATGGTCAAATCAAGACAACAACCCCTTACCTTCTAGTAAGCCTATGGTACTAAATTCCCCCTAAGAATCTCCCCATAGTGACGATCCCTCGCCTGATCAGGGTAATGGCCAGTGTTCCATCTGTTATTTCTCCTAGGGTCCGTTGTATTATAATTTCTTAAGAGGGATTTAATCGCTAAGTGAATTTTGCAGATCATTGTCCAGGCATTGTTAGTGAATGAATCTACTGTTTGTGTTAAATGGTGGATTATCCTGGAGAGTCACTCAACGCGAAGCTATAATCCCCCTACATTGGGTAGAGATTTACTTCCCGGCCTTTCAAAATCGTATACATCTATTGAAGCAGTAAAACAACTAATTTACAGAGAAGATCCACATCATTGTGAATTAGACCGTGCACAATGAATATCGACGGTTCCTTTAAGAAATACAATATGACTGGAATTAAAATGACATCAACTTTAAATTTCCATTTTAAAAATATTCTTTAAATGATTACTAAAACGATTGGCAGTTTACTTGATTTTTTTTCTTTAATCCTTTAAAAAATTATTAGTTAGTATATAGTTTTAATAATTAAACAATGCATATCGTTGATCAACCATTTTTATCAATAGAAAGAACTGTGGCAAAATCATATTATGTCTATATATACTCTATCAATTTCTTTCTTTTCTTTGGGTACTTTGATGTTATTCCGGGAGTAGGAGGCAAATTCTTTTTCTCCCAAATCTATTTATGCACAAGTGGCCATCATCTGTAGTATAAAAGGGGGTACATAAGCAGACTCTAAGGTAAAATGTGTGTATTTTCTCCGGTAAAGAGAACCTGTATATAATGCATTTATGCATTATATACTTTCTTTACGGGTTTGCTCGTTGCTTGATCATGAGTTCTTGTTTGAAAGCAGTTGGGTTTTTTTTAAACTTAGATGAAAAGCCCCAGCCCTCTGGAAAGGTTTAGCTTCCGTGATGCATGGTTTTGAAAGTCATGGGGGTGATTTTATCTGCATATGTACATACCAACATGTAAGCATTCTTATCTGTAATATATGTCACCTAACACATTTTGGGGGAAAAAAGAGGCTTGAACAATACGTGTTGGTAAAATGTTTAAGGGGTCGTACCTGGTTGAATCCAGGGTCAAGGTTTATTGGCCTGCAAATAAATACAAGTATATAACCCTTTCATACTTGGTCTGCTTTACTTACTATACTCTGTTCTAGACCTAAGATTACCAAGGACTTCTAGGCCTAATAGTACCAAGGACATCACAATTTATATGGCCGCACTTTTTAAAGAAAGTCCGGGTATATTGCTGCTGTTACATGTATCCTGGTCCGTCCGTGTGTCACACATTCTTCTAACTACTCTTACATTTTAAGCAGTAGCCAACTCATCTATTGAATTATGACTGGTGGTGCCTTGAACATGTGCAAAAAGATTTCAAACTTTTCATTGTCACCCTGGGAGCGATTGGAGATCAAAAAATGATCGACGTTTTTCTACAAAATCCTGGCTCCCTGAACTCCTCTTACACCAACTCACCTTCTGTAATATGATTGGTGGTGTCCTTTAGTTGTGCAATAAGCTTTCAGAGTTTTGGTTTTCACCCTGGGGTCAAAAAACGTCTTTTTTCTGCAAATGATTGACTACCTGATTCCCTGAACTCCTCTTACATTTTCGTAGTAGCCCATTATTATTTTGGAATGTGATTTGGGGTGTCCTCTAGTTGTGCGATAAGATTTCAGAATTTCAATTTTCATCGGGGGGGGGGGGGCAATTGGGGGTCAGAAAACGACATTAACCTACAAAAACCTGGTTCCCTGAACTCCTCTTACATTTTTTTTGCAGTAGCCGGAATATGTTGGTGGTGTCCTATAGAAGTGCAACAAAGTTTTGGATTTCAATTTTCACCCAGGGATAGGGTGTCGATTGGGAGTCAAAAAGCGTCGTTTTTCTACGAAACCCGGTTCCCTGACTCCTCTCACATTTTTAGACTGTTCATATTTTAGATATCCGGTATGATAGGAAGTGTATTGTAGATGTGCAACAAGGTTTTTGAATTTCGATTTTCACCCTGGGGAACGACTGGGCATCGTTTTTCTATAATAACCTGACTCCTTGAACACCTTTTACATTTTTTGCAGTAACCAACTCTTCTTTTGGTATATGATTGGTGGTGTCCGGTAGATATGCAGTGAGGCTTCATAGTTAAGATTTTTCACTGTGGGGGCCAAATACGATTTTCCGTGTTCTGTAATAGACGACAATGAAACCAAAGCCCCTTTCGCTGTGATGACCGGCGTCAAACAAGGATGCTGTATGTCAGGTTTCTTGTTCCTGCTGGTGATAGACTGGGTGATGCAACAGACAGTCAGAGAAGAGAGAACAGGAATTTGATGGGACTTCACCACTATGCTTGAAGACCTCGACTTTGCGGACGACATTGCCCTTCTGTCATCAACAGTGAACCATCTTCAGTCCAAGACAACAAAACTGGAAACAACTCAGCAAAAGTTGGGATGAAGCTGAATGCCAAGAAGTGCAAAGTGATGAAGATAAATAGCAAGAGTGAATCCAGCCTGATAGTCGGAAACAGTGAAGCCGAAGAGGTGGACAGCTTCACTTACCTTGGGGCCAATGTCACCAAGGACGGTCAAGAAAGAGAATAGCATTGGCCGGCGCATCCTTCAGAAGGCTAGCCAACATCTGGAAGGCCACATACATCAGAAGAAAGATCAAAGTCTCCCTCTTCAAGAGCCTGGTCCTCTCCGTATTGTTATAGGGATGTGAGACTTGGAAGCTTACCAAGACAGAAGAAGAGAGGATTGACATCTTTCAGACCAAGTGCCTCAGAAGGATTCTCAAGGTCAGATGGCAGCAGCATATCCCAAACAAGACAGTTCTGGATATTGCAGGAGCAGAAAACATCAGTGGCGAGGTTAGAAGGAGAAGATGGAATTGGATCGGCCATGTGCTGAGGAAGGACCCAACAGATGACTGTGTTGTGGCCCTCGGGTGGACGCCTGAGGGGAGAAGGAAGCGCACGGAGAGAATTAAGGTTAAGGTAAGGTAAGGCCAAATGTGGGTCAATAAATGATTTTTTAATGCAAAACCCTAGTTCCATGAACTACTCTTCCATTTTTCACAGAAGCCCAATCATATTTTTGGAAGAAGTCTGTGTGTCCTGTAGATGTGCATTTAGGTTTCGGAATTTCGATTTTCACCCTGGGATTGAAACCGACTTTTTTGGTAAATTATGGAATTATATTGTGGCTTCTTCCCTTGTTACCCAAAAATGTATTCTCAAAATATATACAGCTGTAAATACGTTTGCTTTCAAACTAGGTTAAATTAAACCATCTCTCCAAAATTTTTGCCTTGATAGCAACCAACGAGTTCACGTGTATTTTGCAGTAAAGGGATGCCACATTACGTCCCTGTTACAATGCCGCCTACCTGTACCTACAATATATAGTCCCAAAACTGATAAGCCTATAGGCATAGCAACTAAAATTTATGAGGTACTCTGCTAATCTTTTTTTTTTTTTTTTTTTTTTTTTACATCGGGTTGGCACTCCGTTTATTCTACACATTGTATGATTCTAGTATTCTAGTATGTATTTCTACACTGTAGTTGTTACCATACCTTGTTCGAGCAAGTAACAGACCTATATGAAAATTATTTCTTCGTTGCCGCAGCTCAAATCCATATAAGATTGATAGAAAAGACATAGAATAATAAACAGGGTTAGGAAATTTATAGACAAATTTCTAACGCACAATCATTAATGCAGACATAAAGATATGAAAGCATACCCTATAGCTTGGGCCGAGAAATCGCAACTTAATGGCGGGATAGGCGATTCGGTCAACTTTTTTTCATAAGAATTTTTTAGTATGGGCATTTTTAACAACAGTGTGTATATGCTGCTTCACGCCTTTTTGTCTTTATCAGTTCACTGCATTGTCAGTATGAAGATACTGACAATGCATAAGTAATCCTTATTCCATAAAAATTACACATGGATTAGGTATTTCTCCCTGTAAGATATTAATGTAGAATAGTTGAATACTGCAACATAGAGTTAGCTAGCTTTTTTTTCTTTTCTTTTCTTTTTTTCTTTTTTTTTTTTTTGGTTGATGCTGTGTATAGAGCTGAGACGAGCCTTAATAGCTCTTGGATGGATGACCGCTTCACGCTTCATCCGTGTATGAATTTTCACCCCAATACTAAACTTTTTTGTGACAAGTTTGAAGTTATAAAAAAAATGAGGTTTATATCAAAATCACTATAATTGCTATAAAGCATACGAAGAGGTCAGAAGAAGGTGACAGAAGTATATTTCAAATATCATTTAATTTTTTTTTAAATTTTAGATGTGGTTCCCAGAATGAAAATAACGAACAGTAATCAAGTTCAAAAGTCCACTGAATCAATACAAATTGGGAGCATGCAGAGCAAGTTTGCACGGACCTCTAAAAAACACCAGAGGTGGGATCAGGTGTCATAGAGCATCCCCTGAACTGAATGTTTTATTTCATGATCAAATCAATCTTGGTTTGTGATTATGCATGTAAATGATATCCAAATTAGTTGGAGAGTTAACGTTGATTTTGATTTCATCATACCCTAATACTCGTATCTCAGGAAGTTGATATAATTTTTGTCGGAATGCATAGGGTTTTTTTCCCCTGAAGTTTAATTTATTTATTTTTCATCAGAGTATTTCAAATGTGTTTTGACAGATCTAGATGCACTTATTTCTATACCGAATTGTTCCTCACTCATCTGAAAAAAGTGGGGATTTTAGCAGGCACATAGGATCATTTTTCAAAGGAGTGGGAGGGGTGGTAATTTCACAAACTCGAAAAATTCTTCAGCTGATTTGGGTGTGTGAATTAGGTGGGTGGGAGGTTTCAACTTTATCTTTTCGACAAGAAAAATTGAATTTGGACACTTTCATCGAATTTTTGTTTAGATAAATTCATAGTAGCTGTAACAATGTATCCCTCACCTTTTTTTGGGGGGTGGGGGTGGGGTCAGATTTAAAGAATATCTGAAAGGGCTACATTATTTTTTTTTTTGAATGCTCATCAAAAGATGCTTTATCGCTAGGCCCGTAGAACATGAGATGGGATTTGGCGGGGGTTGCAAGTAAGAGACGCCCACACCTTTACTGTGTAATTGGTAATTTCTGACGCTTTTTGGTGTACGTAATATTTTAATACCCTAGTCCTTTATAATTTTCTGTCTTAAAAGAGAGCGTTGCCTAACACCCCCCCCCCCCCTTTATTAAGAATTCGAGCTTAGCACACTTGAAACAACTGACTTTTTTTCTTTTTTCTTTCTTTCTGGCTTTTTTTTTACTTGTCAAAGTTCTTTTTTCTGAATTCAGACTTTTTATTGCTTGTGAAAAAAATTGTTCTGTCTCACTCTTTGAAAAACGCTGCCACATGCCGGATAGCAAGTTTGAGCTACTGATGGGAGCAATAGATGTTACACAAACAGTTTTGAATTTTGGCGCGCAATACATTAGTAGGTTTGCTTTCGGAACTCCTCTAACAAAGTGATGTAAACACGGGGAAATGGCGGTAGACATATTTGAGCAAGGATATTCATTTCTATTTCACTAGAAAAAACGATCTTTAGTCTTGTCTTCATTCAACAAATTAAGTGAATATTGGCCAAAACGTGTTCAAGTTCGAGTTTCATCTAGGTTTTCCGACATAGGACATTCGGACGGTAAACAAACACACGTGGGAATGGACCCCTCCGATCGGAGATCACAAGTTCGACCCTGACTTGCAGCGTATGTTATCATCCTCTATCAATTTTTTTTTTCTGTTATATTTTTACTCGAATCATTTATCTTTTTTTATCCTCTCATTAATATGAATTCAATTTCAGTCTTTGTAAACATCAGCAGATGAGTAAAACAGCTGATATATGGACACACGTCGAACATTCACATGCAACCTTATTTTTCTTTTGCAATCACAATTTATTTTTTAAAGCTTTTTAAATACATTAAATAATTAATCTTGAAGTGCTTTGTATGTTTAATGACGTGACTTATGATAACAACATGTTACTGATGCAGGTCTCCTGGAGTAGGGTTTAGAACTAAATATGGACACAGATTACAGAGCCATTCTCACTGAGGAGGTTGCGTTGGAGGGACTAGATGGTAAGCGAGTGGATCACATTCGTCACAAACCACAGCAAAAATGTATGAATCCATTTCTGGCTGTAAAGGAGGGAGTTAGATTGGGAGTCGGGGGTCCGTTTTACAGAAGAATTTACGACTAAGACTAGGGCTGTCACGGTTCCAAAATTTTTCGGGTCGGGTCGGTTCTGTAAATTTTCGGTTCGGTTTCGGGTTTTTCGAGTCGGGTATTTACATCTATTTTAAACCTTAATTTCACGAATTTAACTTGAAAAATCTTTATTTGTTACATTAAATTTACATTGAAAACAAGTCTTAACCTAGTCCGAAATATCTGACGTTTTCCAGGTTTTTATCAGGATTTTGATATTTTACGTGCCAGGAAAACGTCAGAACTGGCGCCATTATGAAAACTGGAAATTTCACCTTCTCCAACCGGAGCTGATTTTCGATACTTGCGAACTGAATTAAATGCCGAACTTACTATTTATCAGTACCACAATGCTTCTAGTACTCACCAATATCGACGAAAAGAAAATATCACTCCACATTTCAATTTGGTCTTGCAAGATTTTAAAATGCACGAAATGAAAAGAAAATTCAACCGTCTGATAAAATGTTTTCACCAGATTGTATATTTCATAAACAAATCCATATAAACGATGTTGGTGAGTACTAAAGGCATTGTACTATTGATATTTTGTGAATTCAGCATTTAATTCGGTTCGCAAGTATCGAAAATCAACCCGAGAATGCCGCCTACAGTTGGAGGCGGCGAATTTCCAGTTTTTGTAATGGCGCCGGTTCTGACGTTTTCCTGGCACGTAAAATATCAAAATCGTGAAAAAAGCCTGGAAAGATATTTCGGACTAGTCTTAACCATGCGAACGTCTAGACATCGGTGACTTGGCCTACTATCAGCCACAACCTGACCATTCCTGCTCGTTTTGATAGTTATCTAATACTTCCGTGACAAGTGTTTTGTCATGGAATGAAAGAGATTTCAGTTGTGATGTTTATTTATCACTGTTATCGTCATCATTCCCTTGATTTCGACGCCATTTTTTGTATTGAACAGACTCTAATATATAAACCAGACCCGAACCGAAATCCGGAAAAATGGAACCGGAACCGAACCGAACAACTTGGACCGCAGTTCTCGGTTATTTCGGGTACTCGTGACAGCCCTAACTAAGACCAATAATTTTAGTAATTGATGAGTAGGAAAGCTATATCTGCCTGTCTTTTAAGTATTATTATCAAGCCTTATATTAGTATGGTTTGAATTTGTAAATTATAGACTCTGTCAGAGCTTCAACAATGCTTCTGAAAGTAAAAACAATAAGCCTGAAAGCTTTGCCTAGATTTAAAATTTAAAGGTTAATGATGCAAATCAATAAAATTTATATTTTTAATATATTGTAAATAATAAAATATTAAATAATAAATTTAATCCATTGTGTGGATCAGGAAACTATGCCTCAGAGATTATATATATATATATATATATATATATATATATATATATATATATATATATATATATATATATATATATATATATATATATATATATTAACTACAATAAAGATTTTAAAACTGTAGGGTTTAATTCAAAGTGTTTTTAATGGGAAGTTACCACTCAGATCCAGAAATTCTAAATAGCAATGTATATGGGTTATAATTTTTAAGTCTGAAAAAAAAAAATACTGTTAAGAAATCTTAAGTATGGTTTTGAATCCAAGTGTGATATAATATCATTATTATTTAAAGCAAAAAGTTGTTCCTAATTTTTGAAAGATGTGATACGGTACATTCAGTAAGGTTGCAGTTATTTTAATTTATTTAGGAAGTTCAAATTCATTGGCCTATACTAGCTTTTTTGTTTCCATGAGATCTTAAAAACTCAAGAAGCACACATTGATTTCCCACAGAAAACTAATTTTGATTACATTTTCTACTAAGTTTTACTCAATATCACAGCTGAAATTGACTTTGTATTGTAAAATGAACAATGATAAAGGACTGGAAATGATGGGAGTTCAATTGTTTGTACTATAAAAGGGTGCTTATAGGGAATATGAAATCTCATTGGTAGGATTAATGTAAATGTGTCCATTTATCTTATATTTATGTTTGTAGAAAAAAAAATCATTCTAAACTTTTTAGCTTACCTGAGCATCCTCAGATAGTGTAGTTTAAAGTTCATTGAAATCATGACCCCTGGGGTAGGATGGGGCAACATAGGCAATCATAGTTTTAAATAAAAATATGTATGGAAAAAATCTGCTGAAGAATAGCAGGGTCATAGTGACTCAGGTGAGCATTGTAGCCTATTGGCCTCTTGTTTTATAGGTATTACTCTGCAAGCATTATGGGTAAGACTGGAAAACCGGGTTAACTTCAGAATGAGGCTGGATGAGAAAAGTAAGGAATTCCTTTGGTGCTTTCTTCTCTCTATCCCTGATCTGGAATTTTACCGACTAGAAACTCCTCGTGGAATCCTCAACGCGAAGCAGCCTATCGTTATGGACCCTGAATCAGGAGTTACGGTGGATTTCGTAAGTTTAGGAGTAGAGCATTATACAGTGTTATGTTGTCAAGGTTAATGCCTTGATGTAGCAGAAAAAAATGTTTTGAATGTGTTTTAAAGTTTTGGTCCTTGTACAGTGTACATTACATGTATGTAAACTGTTTGATTGTATAATATTCTTCTGATTTTTGCTCAAGCATGATTACTTGTAGAATGAGGTTGTGAGTCCATAATATTGTTTGATTACAGTCTTTATTTTGAAAATGAAGACAATTTTTTTGAATGAATACTTGATATTTTATTCCTGGCAGCCTTTGCCAATGTTTGTATTAAGAATAAAGTTACATAGAAATGACCACTTTTCTCAGCCCATTGACAATTTAGAGAGAGTTAAAATATCAATTAGTAAGCTTGTCCTTAATCAGTAAATGAATGCTGCAATCACCTGAGAGTTTTTCAGAGAGACGTAATTTTTAATAAAGAAAGATAAGTAAGAATGTGTGTTATGAAGGTGCTTTTTTACTCGTATATGTATGATATACAGGTGATTGGTAAGGCTCATGAACCTCTTGTATACATGTATAATACATTGCATAAATTCTAAACACACCACAATAACAGTAAACAATGCATTTTACAGGATGTGGGAGAAGACTTGTATCCAATCCAAATCATAAAGACTGAAGGCTCTGTGATTGGTTCCTGTTCTACGTATCATAGTAGACAGTGTGTTACCATGGAAATAAAACCAGATGATGATTCTCAGCAGAGACCAACAGTGAAAGAAGTGGAAGAAAGGTCAGTTTTATAAAGAAAAAAAATTTAGGTTTTCCTTCAAACCAGAAGCTGGATAAGAAAAGTAGAAATTGATGGCATTATAATTACCCTGATCCATATGGTACATGTTTTGACCTGATTCACTCCAAAATGACCTTATCCATAGCATAACAACCCTATTTGTGTTGTTTTATCATCCAAATCTTAGTATTAACCTCATTCATACCAAAATATTTACATTTGCAAATGTTTTCTTTTATATAACACTATTAAAAGCAACGCCTATCTATATATGTGTAAACAGGGGTTCCTCGCGTCATAAACGTTCGACGTAATTTCTCAGTGACGTCATAAAGGGTCGACGCGCAATCAACAGATCAAACTTGTGCCGTTGAGTTTGAAAAAATAAAACATTTCACGCGTTAAAGGTTATAATCAGGCTAATATATAATATGAATAAGTCACAAATGTAAATATAAGTAATAAGGTATCATTTTAAAAACATCTATCGGGATATAAATACGGGTTGGTACGAGATCAAATTTACCATAAAGCCTTTCGGGCTTTATGGAATTTGATCTTGTGACCAACCTGTATTTATATCCCGATAGGTGTTTAAAAATGATAGCTTATTTCTTAATTACATGTACCAGTACCTCATCCATGCCATGATTATCTCATCCATAGCACATTTATATTGTTATCCCATCCACATTGTAGTAACCTCATTCAGCAAGTTTCAAGTATGCCGGTCCCCAGAATCATGCGACTGCACATGTGCAGTTATTTCCCTTGCCATTGCTATGCAGAATGTAAATAAAACATTTTCCCCTTGCTTAACAAAATGTATTTGCACAAGGAACTAGAGTTAGAGTACATAATTTTAAGACTGGAAGTATTTCATAAAACCACTCATATCTTACTGACTTGGGGCTACATGTAATTTTTGCTTACAAAAGGCACTGCCAATTCCCCAGCCACCGGGTCTTAGGGACAACCCTTTATACAGTATTGTAGTTATACCATTTTAAGATGCAAGTTCTTGTAGTTTTCCAAGCAGTACTTTATATTATTTATTCTACAGATCTCTAATTTTAGACCTTTCAAAAAAGATATATCTTTGAAATTCTGAGTTGAAAGACTCAAAATTAAGAGATTAAACTTTCAAACCCATTTTGTTAAGGTATTTGTCAGACATATTTTTTTTATATCAGATATGGTAACAGTCTAGTGATTGTGGCCTCTCAGGAACAGAGGTTCACTGCTTTGTGTGGTGAAGAACTGGACCCCAGCAGTCTATATAACTTAGCAGACATCAGCTTCTGTTTACTAGAGAGGATAGGCAGGTAGGTACAAGTGTCAACTTCTGTATCAGGGGTTGAAATTTTCCTGGAAAACCCACTAGCCCAGGGGCTGGTGATCAGTAAAAATTTTACCAGCCCAAATCTCAAACTAACTAGACCAACAATTTTTATGCAAAATGAAAACATAACAAGTTAAAGTTTCAAATGCTTTGGTGACAGGAACAGAGTAAACTAGTTCTCAGTCAAAGAAACCAGTCTACATAGAAAAGCTACAGTAAACTGACGATTGAGAATTTTTTATTCCGTTCTGCTAGTCTGATGGACTATTGTTACATTTAAATTAGCTAGCCCGAGTCTTAAAATGACTATCCCCGGTGTAGCATAATATTTTGATACCACAATATATTGAACCCAGGTTCAATATACAGGTTTCAACTTTAGTATACTAAAGAAGACATACACGTTGGTACAGGTGTCAACTTTAGTGTACTACAGAGGACATACATGTAGGTACTGGTCGTGGTGTCAACTTAAGTGTACTACAGAGGACATACACGTAGGTACAGGTGTCAACTTTAGTATACTAAAGAGGACATACATGTAGGTACAGGTGTCAACTTTAGTATACTACAGAGTACATACATGTAGGTACAGGTGTCAAGTATACTACAGAGGACATACATGTAGGTACAGGTGTCAACTTTAGTGTACTACAGAGGACATACATGTAGGTACAGGTGTCAACTTAAGTATACTACAGAGGACATACATGTAGGTACAGGTGTCAACTTTAGTGTACTACAGAGGACATACATGTAGGTACAGGTGTCAACTTTAGTATACTACAGAGGACATACATGTAGGTACAGGTGTCAACTTTAGTGTACTACAGAGGACATACATGTAGGTACTGGTCGTGGTGTCAACTTTAGTGTACTACAGAGGACATACATGTAGGTACATGTGTCTTTTCTGTATACTAGCATGGATAGGAAGCTAGGCATAGGTGTCAACAATTTGTGGTTGTTAATGTAACCCTCCATCCCCCCTCTATGCCCCACTCTCTAAATCCCCCTGGTATACAACACTATGGCTTGTTGGGCTTTTTTCACAGTTATATTTATTACAGTATTTATCATGTATACTTAGGAAAAATTGTGAAAAAATCTAATGCATTTGTTCATACAAAAAATACCTCTCTATTCATAATGAGAGCGAAAGATATGGCACTGCAGTTTGTTTAAATTGTACCATCACTGATCTTTCTAAATAAATAAATAAATCAACTTCTGTATTATAGGATACACATTACAAGTATCAATTTATTAGAGAGAATATACTGGTAGTAAAGCTAGCATATTCTGTATACTAGAGAGCTGAGGATAGGTAGATCTATATGCTAGAGAGGAATAGGTAAGTTAAGTACATTGTACAGGTGCCAGTTTTTGTATACAGCTGTACTAGAAAGGAATTTGCAGGTAGATACAGGTGTCAATTTATCTGTATACTAGAGAGGATAGAGAGTTAGGTACAGGTGCCAGTTTCTGTATACTAGAAAGGATTGGCAGGTAAATACAGGTGTCAACTTCTGTATACTAGAAAGGCAGATAGGTACATTGTGGGTGAGGATTTGAGTGACCACTGATTCCAGTTCAGAGATCTAGAAAACATTTCAGGGAGAAATGAAAAAGATCAAAGGATGAGAGTGGTCGTTGATTTCAGGTGGCTGCTAAAACAGTTCTGAACTGTTTTTAGTCCTTTTTTTGTTGGTGAATCAATAATACTTCAAACAGAGGTAATTACATTTTAGAAAAACTCTAAATTTTTGTGACTGTTAGGGAATGTTTTAAAATGGATTCACTATAGCTTTGTCATTGGTAAACAGGCTGTTTGGTAAAATACTGACAAAGAGTGAAACTCGCTTATAGTGAAGTGCCTGGGAGGAACAATTTTGCTCCTATATGAACATAATTTTTTATATCTAATAAGTTCACAATATGTCTTAAAACTACAGGGAATGAAAATCACTTCGTTGTAAGCATGAATTCATCATATTAAGCATGTTCATTATAAGTGTATTTTACTATATGAATGTAATTGGCAGTATATTGATTGACAGGTCACGGAGGGCAGGGGAATTGTCTATTGGTGAATCCAGTATGCAGGTCTTTAACCTCCAGCCCAAGTCCATGTTTTACCACACGCTGCGACTCATCAAACTAGGGATACTGAAAAAACAGGTCAGACCGTAAGACAATGGTTCTTAGGTACACCAGTATCAGCATATAGTGCTGTCTTGCAAATATGCTACTATATATACATTACTTTTGCTACTTTGTATGGTATGATAAATCTCTGTAATATTAACCTAAAATATCAGTGTTATTTTTGGGAAGGATACTTAATTATGAAATTAAGAGCACAAATATTTCTGAATCACAACCCTGTTTTAATTTTTGGATATATAAAAGTGTACTGCTTAAGGAAAACTTTGAATTTTATTTCCTTTGCTGTGCATTTCAGATATTGCTATGACTATAAAAGCCTCCCAGTATCGACATTTGATTCTGAGAAGTGCAGTATTGCTAAATTATTTTAAAAAAGAAAATGGAATTTCCATTCATTGAACTTCAAAAAATATATGGACGATATATACTCTTTCAAAATAAAAAAAAAATGCATAGTAAAATTTCAGTGACACATTGAACATAAAGATTATTTAGTAATATGATGTATTGATAATATAGAAAGGTGGTAAACAATAGGTCTAAAATATAAATGTCATAATCAAAAATATTATAATACTAGAGAGTTCAAGGTCATTAAGGATCAATATCTGCCCCCCCCCCCCCCCCCCCCCCCCCAAACACCAATGCTAGCCTAAATGGCATTCTTATGGATGCAAATGAATGTGTTTAAAAAAAACTGTATGGAAATGCTTTCTCAATCTAAATGTAGATCTTTGGTCAGCTGTTGCAGAGTTTGGGGATGCGACTGTCTTTGGTGGATATGCCTATCCAATTTCTCCAATGCATACTCAATAGGGTTTAAATCAGGCGATTTAGATCGCCAAGGAGAACAGAATGTTGTGGCTTTCCAAGAATGCAATTTTTTAATGAGCTGTTTGTGAGTGTTTATCGTCAGATTGAAATAGGGCTCAAGGATGCTGCATAATTGGAAAGATATGTGCAGGTAGGACATCTTTATCGTTTTCCGTTGAAGTATTTGAATATGAACCAAATCAGTCCTACTTGTATATAATACCGTTTTCCACATCATAACACTACCACCATCAAAACTATCAACCTTCTGGAGGCTGTTTTCTGTACAATGTTAATGCATTAATGACTCTTACATCAGGCTTTGCAATAAACATTCTGGATTAGTAACTAAACCAAACTGTTCAGTGGTGTTGCTGTGGCCATACTCTGTTGGTCTGAGACCTTTGAAGTTGATGTTTGCCATGTTGTAGGGTCAGAACAATAGCAGGAAAAAGTCCTCTGGTGATAATTCAAGCATCTTGTAATCAATGGCAAACAATCTTGTTAGATGTTCTGTGCATTTCAGGGATAGCTAATGCCGTAGACGACATCATTGTGAAACGTTGATGAAAAGTACACAAACCACTGAAGTGATCCTTTGCTGCTGATGTCACATGTGGTCTGCCATATTTTTGGCAATCATTTGTTGTATCATGCTGTTGGTATCTGTTTTATAGGTTAGGTTTGTGCAATATTTAAACCTCTTGCAATTGTAGACTGCGGTACACCTGGTTCCAGTCGCCCAATTTCATTTTTGCAATGTGCAATAATCAGATGCAGTGTTTTAAATTGCGTCAATTTTGAGGGGAAAAAAAACTCAAAATATCGAAAACCCCAGCTTTTGTTAGCCATTTTGTACCTGAAGGATGTGGAACAGAAACCAACAAATAAAAAGTTATAAATGACCAAAGTTTAGCATTTTACAAAATCAGGTCTTTTTATCTGTGAGTTTTGTAGAATGACTGTCAGGATAACGTTAGCATTAAAAAAGATGCATTTTACTTGAATGAATCATATTCATCTAAAAAATATTTATATGTCAAAACTATTTTATATTATTCAGAGTATTATTTCTATTATTTTTTTTTTTGAAAAGTATATTTTGATTTTGTCAATATTATTCAGTTTAGTAATATGTTTATTTTCATTAATGTTGTTTATCACATTAAAATTTTATCATATAGACATGGTACAAATTATAGATTTACTGATGAAAACTCTGAAATAAAAAAAACTGCTGTACAGAGAAGAAAAAATACATGTTGTGAATATATTTATTGGTGAACTCCTACTTTGCAAAACTGTACATGAAATTAGTTAATATCAGTAGGTCTTGTGTATTTATTTATTTCTATTCATTCATGTATGTATGAAGTTCACAAGGTACACTTTGTCATTCTCTGATAATTACAAGATCACAGTCTATTTTTTATTTCATGTACTGGATCACTTTCACTTCTCCTGAATCAAATAATCCTACCCACAGCCTTCCTGCAATGTCCACACTCAATCCACTAGGCTTATCTAGTCCAAAATTGTCCACACATCTCAGGAGCTGTCCATTCTGGTCTAGGATGTGTAGACAGTCATTGTTATAATCTGTCACAATGATCTGACTCAAAGAGTCTGTCACTATACGTCCAGGACTAAATGGCTTTTCTCTCCTGGCTGCTGTACCGTCGTATTGGAATCGGATTCTCCCTGTCTTGTCCACCACAACAACAATCTTAGCATTACGATCAGAGACACAGATGTCTCCATTGTTGTTCTCTGTCATATATAGTGAATATAGTCCTTCTTTAAAGATTAGATTTCTATGTTCATCTTTATGTATTTCTTGTTTTATTATCGCTCCCTGATAACGAATTATTTTATTTTCTTGTTCATTAGACATACTGACCAGTATGTCCCCAGATCTGGTACAGCACAGTCTGTATGGTGTCCAGCCCCGTGGTGTGGTGATCATTACCTCTGTCCTTCCCTGTCTGACAATATAAACAGTTTTATACAAAGAATCACTGTATACAAGTTCTCCTTCTACTGTCACAGAGATGTCGCTAGGACTGCTTAGACATCTAGTGATGACAGATTCCTGTACAGACCCTTGTTTATCAACACGCCTTATGACTTTGTCTGTACCACCAACCCAAGCTTCATCTGTCCTTACACAGGCCACTCTCCATAGAGGTTTAACTCCAGTAAGAATGGTTGTAATCACTTTGGCTTTTTTTAATAACTCTCTTACAGTTAAATGGGAGACTTCATCTGTCAGACTGGATGATGTTTTCTGTGTTAATGTAGCCTTGTATTCGCCCAATTCTATGTCAAGTTCTCTGCCTTTGACTGTTTTTGCATTCAGTGAAGGAATTTTAACATCAATATCAGCAGGTATATCTCTGTATTCCTTCAGTTTAGATTTGTAGTTGTTGACTTCAGACACTCTGTTTGTCTTCAGAATTTCTTTGTTTTGTTCAACAGTTTGGATCATATCTGGAATAAGATTTTTCAATTTGGATTGGTGAGATTTTAAAGGAGTGAGATAATTTTCTTTCATGGACTTGATTAAGGAGTCCAGTTTATTGAAAATGTTATCTACTTCTTGGTGCCATAGTTTTCTATGTTTTTCTGTTTCTTTTTCCAGTTCATCAAATTTGGCTGTTGTTGTGGATATTTTGATCCCTATGTCGTTCATTTTCTTCTTGTAATTAGGAATAATGGTGGATTCAATTTCTTGATTTTCTTTTACGATTTCCTTTTTCTTTTCTTTGAAAATCTCTTGTATTTCCACAATATTGTGCCCACTATGGGAACTAAGAATGCATTTCAGACATACGTGTACATCACATTGTCTGCAGTGGGCCTCACATCTCTGATTGGAGTGAATTGTACACTCAGGAAACACTGGCTGTATCTTCCTGTTCGTGAAATGAACAATGTCATGTGTTTGAGACTTGAACTTGTCTACATGTTTACTGACACAGTCCACACATAAACTCACTTGACAGTTATTACAGAACTGCTGAGTAGGCTTAGGACAAAGGTCACAGGTGATGACCTCCTGTGCCCAGGAGGTAGGAGTGGCCATTTTCTCCTTTAGGGAGTGGAACTGAAATTCTACAAATTAGAGAAAAATAAATTAATGACAGTCAAATATAGTAGATTTAAGAAATATTTTTCAAACTCTGTTTATTATCCTTTGATATTTTTTTTTTAAATTCTAGCTTTTACAAAATACCTGTATGATTTTTAATTTTTTACTGAAATCTTACATTCAAAGTGTTACTTTTAAAGTGTTAAATTTTGTATACATTTAATAGAGAGTTTGTGATCAGTTCAATTTAAGATCTGGAAACTTTTATCAAAGACTATTTTTTTCCATGTTTGAAAATTTGATTGTGAAGTTAGAAAATTCATCGTGGTCCAATATCTCAGCGATTGGTCCAACATCTCGCTCAGTGGTCCAATATCAATTTTTTTCTGACCGCAAGTAAAACATTGGAAATATTTGACTATTTTTTCCAGTAGAGATTGATACAGAAACAATTTTTATACGCCCATCTTTAGACAGGACGTATTATGTTATGGAGTTCATGTCCGTCTGTCCGCCCGTCCGTCTGTTAGCTTTTATCGTGTCCGGCTCATAACTTTAATACTATTAGGCCTAGGATTATCAAATTTTGTCAGCTGATACTTCTTGGGTAGAAGGTGTGTCGCACATTGAAAGTAGGTCGCTCTGACCTTAATTAAGATGCTATGGCCAAATATGGAAAAATCCTGTCCGGCTCATAACTAGAAAACTATAAGACTTAGAATCATCAAACTTGGTCAATTTATGCATCTTAGGTAGAAGGTGTGTCGCGACCTATTTCAAGATCACTGTGACCTTTAATTTAAGTGAAATTTAAAAAAAAAAAATGTTTTTTACTATTAGATTACACAATCCCAAAAAATGCAAGAGTATTGCAGTATCCTTATTAAAAAAATGTTAAATCAAGAAAATACTTATTTTTTTCATAATATACTTTACAGCAATCTATAACAAATGTAATGTTACAAGGAAAAATTCCACCTCTCCCATGGGTGTAATTATCAAGCACTGGTCAAGAAGAATTTGATAACAGAAAATTGCATGTCAAATTAGAGAGAAATTTAAAATGAGATTAGTGGGAGGAGCTAACTGGTAGAGCATCTCTGATCAAGCAGGTGTTATCTATATCTCTTGGGAACTGGGCAAAAAGAATCAGCTGTGTTGGATTAAATAGTTGGCTAGCCGAACTTTTAAAATGAATTTGGTGAAAAGTAATTAAAACTTATTTGATATTGTATAACAAATTATAATTTAAATAATATAATTAATATTAATAATTATTATATAATATAGTTAAAACTAATTATACTCGGTATTGCAGCTTAAAACCAGTCTGACATTAAATCTAAAAAAATCAAGTATTTAAAAAAAATGTTTTTAATTATATGGTAGATGGTCCCTACAAATCTAAGAGTAAATTGCAGGAACCTTATTAAAAATGTTGCATCAAAATTACACAAGTTTTTTGTTTCTTTTTATAAATCTTTGTAACAAATCTTAAAAAAAATCTTTGTTTTCAAATTTAATTTTAGAATGACATAAATATGCATTTTTATGCACTACAAAGCAGATAGTATGTATAGATCCATTCATCCATTGGGATTAATGAGTGGACATGCATCCATGCAGTTAAAGATTAATTAATGAGTTCAGTGTAGGGAGGCTAGCTGTCTCAATCATTTCTGTTAGATGATCTCTGATCAAGCAGCTGTTATCTGTATCCTTTGGGAATTAGACAGAAGAACTGCTGGTCAGTTTATAGCATATGTCATTTGATGGCCAGCCATTTATTTTTAATATTAATTTGATATAGATTAAGTTGTTAAGACTAAATTGATATTGTTTAATATGATATTTTTATTTAATATTTTGATAATATCAACTAATTCAGAGCATCATGTCTCACAAATCTGAAAGCTTGGGGGGGGGGGGGGATGGACATTTGTCAAGCTCTAACACAACCAGTTGAGGATCTATAATGTAATATTTGTTATAATTAATGCCTTCACCACAGGAGATGTATAAACAAATATTAAAAGGAATGGCAAAATCATTTAAATCCTTGTATCAAGGTTGACATGATTTTCTTGCACTCTAAACTGTTTATGACAATTGAACAATATTTGACGGGCGTATCATGCTGTGGCGGGGCACTTTATTAAAGGTATAATAATTACATGTACTCTCATTTAATATATAGCTTTTGTTTTATCTTGGTTCAAAATCAGTGATAACTGCTCAGTAAATATGTATTATTTGAATATTTTACCTTTAAGTTCCAACCTTTGGAGTCTAACTATTAAGTCATCTCCCCACCCCAGTATTCACCTGACTGGGAACTACTTTCAGTTTGGTGTTTATACTTCCTGGTTATACTTATCAGTCAGATCAGTGAGCATGTGCAGAGTCTGTTCTGGATTGTAATCAGTGATCCATGTACCCCCTCATAGATAGATAGAACTATATGTATTAAGAAATTAAAAAGAGCTATTATCACTTATCAAACAGAATTATTCCTCTTTGTACATACATGTTCCTAATGTGTGATGCTAGTATTTATAAATCATCACAAGTCTCTCATTCAAAAAAAAAAAAAAAGGGATTGAAATAATAAAACACCTACATTAAAAGTATTTTAGAGCTCTGTAAATTTAATGCTGTTAATTATATGATTTATTCTAAAAATAAAATAATGATTAAAAAGCTAAAAATCCTCTTTTTTGCAACTAGTTTTTCTGAGAATCATCTTAATTTAATTCATTGTGTTTCCTAATTGATTTACATAACCAGAAATCTTCCATCTCATCCAGAAAGATTTGTGTAAGATTGTTAGAAATATACATGATATATGTAAATATATATTATAGAATATTTTTTTTAGAGAACAAGAAATCACAATAGTTGCATCAATAATCATCTACAGTCGGAATTCCGCGTTCCGTATCCGGACGGTCCTTTTTCACCACAAAATGAATTTTTACGTTATATTTTGGTTCATTTATCCGGATGATAATTTTTTAACTGGTCTGTCAAGTCTGCTCAAATTTCTTGATCTGGGTGTTAATTGTTGTAAAAACACAGATCTGGCTTTTTGTTTTTAAAAGATGATCACCTACGACCTGTTGTTAGTGGCTTGCGGCAAGGTTAATTGTAGGTCGATAGGTACGCACAAGACTCTCACTTCTCTAACATGGTTTTGATATGTATTAATTAGTGGAAATAATTTTACAAGTTTAGGATAATTTTTTCTTTGTCGCCAAATATATTTCTTTTACTATTAGAATACAGTCGTAACAGAGTTTTATGTATTTATAGACATGACATCGGAGTTTTTTTATGCACAGTATTTTGTGCTCAAAACGCATTCTATATGATTTGATGACATTTATAAAATCACTTTCAAAATTACACAATCGTTAATAAGATCTTGCTTCGAATGATTACGATTAGCTTTCGTATACATGTGCAGATAATGTCACATTTAGCACTGATGCTAAATATTAAATAAGACTCTACCGACAGTACCGACATGGCTACTAGGAGAAGTTGATTCAATAGAAATTGGGGAGTAGAAATAATTAATGTGACCATATAAACACGTTTTTTCCAATGACACATGTACTTTTTTTATTTATTTAAACAAGTATTGAGTAGTACTAACTTATATTAAAGTATTTAAACAATAAAACATATTGATATAAAGCAACATTCTTTACTATTGAAAATGGAATGAAAGGCCTTATAACTAAAAATCAGCGCAATTCAGGTATCCGGACTCTTCACATATCCGGACAAATTGACTGGGAACCAAAGCGTCCGCATAAATGAGGCTCCACTGTAATTTTATAGTTTTGGATGAATTACATGAAGTAAGTAAATTTCTTGTGTCCTGATTAACTGCAAACTAGGAATCAATTTTTTTCATATATTATAAATAAATTTTAAAGAAAAAAATCACCCTTTCTCCTAAAATCATCCAAATAAGTAATTTAAAAATGTATTGTTATTAATAATGAAGATAGAAACAGGAAGTTTTTGCCACTTAGTCTACCTGTTAGGATTTTACAACATGAATCCAATATCCTTTTAGACCAAGGGCACCAAGTGCACTCAGTTGTGGTGATATACAACACATGCTGACTAGAGGTCAGCACGTAGTAGGGGTCACAAGAAAGAATAATAATTGCTTGTAATAAGAGTATATATATGCTCGTATACTTAAAGTGTAGAAGCAACTGATTTAATGTGACTTAATTATTTTTTAGAGCATTACAGTGTACAACAAAAAAGGACAGAACTCATTACGACGTTTATTTCACCTGACCAGATTCTACCAGCAATACCAGTCCAAGTACACCATCCTGTCCAATCTAGTGGTCAATTATCTGAATGATCAACCAATGAGACGACAGGAAATCCCAAAAACTAGACTGGACTGTGTAAGTATCCTTCATTGGTCCGTCTGACCACTATATGGACAGTTATCCAAATGATTAACAAATGAAATGGCAGGGAATCTCCATGGCTAGACAGCCAGAGTTTATTAGTATTTTGTACTGAAAAATCTATTGGCTACTGATTAAAAGTTATACAGTATGTATTTCTGTCAAATTTGCTATAAAAACTGCTGTAAAGCAAAGAAGTAAGCTACATATAACTGTGAAATCCCCCCCCAAAATTAATTGGGTTCAAGTTTTATTATATTTTTGTTTATTAGAGAACCATGAAATCATATCCTCCATGAAATTCTAAAATTTCCAATTACAGTCTCATGTTTGTCTCCTCAGCCATGAAATTAAATCCCAGTTAACAATTTTCCCCTGCAAGCCAAGATAATTTTATCCCCCTAAAACCAGTGATTTTTACAGTAGTTCTTGTGAATTATTTTTTCTTTATTTTTTATTCTTTAGTTTTATATTTGTTTCAGGGTATAGACCAGAAAAGTTTTAAGAAGCTCTACCAAAGCTATAATAAGAGATTCCGTGTGTTTGCTGTTCCATATAATGAAATGTATCAAGAGAGTCCTGAAAGTAGCTGGTACACAAAGTAAGTGTCTGGTACACAAAGTAAGTGTCTGATACACAAAGAAAGTGTCTGGTACACAAAGTAAGTGTCTGGTACACAAAGTAAGTGTGGGGTAAACAAAACAAGTGTCTGATACACAAAGAAAGTGTCTGATACACAAAGTAAGTGTCTGGTACACAAAGTAAGTGTCTGATACACAAAGTAAGTGTCTGGTACACAAAGAAAGTGTCTGATACACAAAGTAAGTGTCTGGTACACAAAGTAAGTGTCTGATACACAAAGAAAGTGTCTGGTACACAAAGTAAGTGTCTGGTACACAAAGTAAGTGTGGGGTAAACAAAACAAGTGTCTGATACACAAAGAAAGTGTCTGATACACAAAGAAAGTGTCTGATACACAAAGTAAGTGTCTGGTACACAAAGTAAGTGTCTGATACACAAAGTAAGTGTCTGGTACACAAAGAAAGTGTCTGATACACAAAGTAAGTGTCTGGTACACAAAGTAAGTGTCTGATACACAAAGTAAGTGTCTGGTACACAAAGTTAGTGTCTGGCACACGAAGTGTCTGGTATACAAAGTGTCTGGTACACAAAGTAAATGTCTGGGATAAAAAGTATGTGTCTTGACAAAATAAGTGTCTAGTACACAAAGTACATGTCTAGTACAAAAAGTGCATGTCTGGTACGCAAAGTACATATCTGGTACACGAAAGTATCCAGTACAAAAAGTAAATGTTGGGTAACACAAAGCAAGTGCTTGATAAAGGAATGAAATATCTGAGTTGAAAAGTAATTGTCTGGTACAAAAAGTGTCTTATATAAAAATTAAGTATCCAGTATACTAAGCATGTGTCAAACACACAAGTCACGAATTGTATGAACAAATTAAGAATCAGGGATGCCAAGTAAGCGACTGAAATAAAAAGAAAATTTCTTGTGGATAAATAACTGGTATACAAAGTTAGTGTCTCATAAAAAAAGAAAGTTCCTAAAAGTCAGACTATTGAGAGTATCTTGGTCCAGAACTTAGGGACAAGGGATGTAACTCTTCTACAAAACATGGAAGAAACAAAGGGAAATGGTACCTGTTTGATTTGTTGAGAAGAAAAGGTTAAATATTGATGTCAAATCTCAAATTATTAATTGAACTTAGGTATTAAAATGAAATTGATTTGTTGAGAAAAAATATTGAATATCAGTGTAATTTCCCAAAATATTATTGAAAACAAAACATTAGAACATTGATCCGAAAATGTCAATTGATTCTGTCAAAAGAATTGTAACTTATAAGAGGGTCAATTGCCATAAATAAATAAATATACTGACTTATAATTGAACTGATTTATAGACAAGTACATGTATGTACATTTATTTATCTGATACACAGAATAGTATGTGATACAAAAGGTAATTTGCTGATATAAGAAGTAAGAGTTTGTTGTATTAAAAAAATTGTGTCGGTTTCAAAAAAGGAAATGATTTATAAAACTATGTTGTATATATACAGTAAAACAGACTTATAGCGAAGTGCCAGGGATGTGCAATTTTGATTCGTTATAAACATATTTCATTATAAGTGTAAAGATTACAATGCGTTTTAAAACTACCGGGATTGAAAATCACTTCACTGTAAGTGTGAATTCATTATAAGCGTGTTCCCTATGGCCGTGTGTGAATTCATTATAAATGTGTTCCCTATGGCCGTGTAAGTGTGAATTCATTATAAGCACATTTGCTATAGCCATGTTTTACTGTACAAGTCATTAGTGTCTAGTATGCAAAGTAGATTCTGCCACTTTGAGATCAGTATTGTAAATAACTGTTGAATATGATTTATGTGAATGTGTTCAGACTTAAGAATGAATCACTTTCTAATTTTAGAAATGGGGATATGAAGATGGTTCGGTTGATTGAGGTGATAGATGAAGAGAGCGATGAAGATGAAGACGAGGATGGGAAGATAGAGGAACTCTCTAAAGGTGGAGTTTGTTTGAGAGTATTTAGGTTGTTCTAAATGGGAAGGATTGGAAGATAGAGGAACTCTCTAAAGGTGGTGTTTGTTTGAAGGTATTTAGGTTGTTCTAAATGGGAAGGATGGGAAGATAGAGGAACTCTCTAAAGGTGGCATTTGTTTGAGAGTATTTAGGTTGTTCTAAATGGGAAGGATTGGAAGATAGAGGAACTCTCTAAAGGTGGTGTTTGTTTGAAGGTATTTAGGTTGTTCTAAATGAGAAGGATGGGAAGATAGAGGAACTCTCTAAAGGTGGCATTTGTTTGAGAGTATTTAGGTTGTTCTAAATGGGAAGGATTGGAAGATAGAGGAACTCTCTAAAGGTGGTGTTTGTTTGAGAGTATTTAGGTTGTTCTAAATGGGAAGGATTTTTACAAAAATATTTCAAATATAGCATAAATTTATTTATAAAATACCTAATGTATGTAATATGTACCATCCTGTCGCAATAACAGATAATAAAAGAGTCACTTTGCATTACTGCTGTAATTTATTTAAATCTGACTTTGCTGCATCTATTTTATAACAGATGAGACCTATTTCCCACAAGTCTATGAGAAATCAATCCTGCGACAAGCAATGGATTGTATGGAGGCAGCGGGAGCCGAGGGCGTATCACAGGGTCAGATGATGAAGAGGCTGTGTATGGACAGTCTAGAGACGCGGATGATCTTACGTACCTTAGAACGGCGCAGAGTCGTCACCTCACTGATGACAGAGGCAGGAAAACAGAAGAAAAAAGTGTAAATCGTCAAAAACATGTTTACATGTCTACTCTGGTTTAATGTGTAATGATGAAAGAAAATGACTCCACTTATTGTATAGGGTGACAAATTTATTACAGACTGCATCAAATAAAAGCAGTCTCTAAATACTTACTGTAATGTAACTGAATTATTTTTAAGTTTGGATCTGACACCAAGTTTCTGCAAGGTCAGTTTACCAGTGAGTGGTACAAAGGTCATGAAATACAAGTTTTGTGTCACCTTTGGACTAGGCAATGACCTTGAAACATTTTTTAAACAAAATTTGCTTTTTTGCAGAATGGTGTCCAAGTCTTTTGTTGATGGAAACAAATTGATAAATCAGATTAATCATGAAAAAGAGAAACTCAAACAGTCTCTACAGGACATCAAGAAGCAAGTGAAAGGTTTGTATGTAGTTCTGTAATAAAAAGAGATAGTTAGATAGTTGAGATAACAAGCAAAAGTAAAAAAAAATACTCTGTATGGAAAAAAAGAAACAAAGGTGCATGACTTTCAAAAAAAGAGGAGATAGTCAAATAGTCAACATAACTAGCAAAAGTACATAACTTTCTATGAAAAAAGGACACAAAGGTGTGTAACTCTGTCAAAAAAGAAGAGATAGTCAAATAGTCAACATAACTTGCAAAATTTTCCCATTTCATACAAATCTGTAGAATATTGATTGGCTAAAAACAGATCACATGATGCCTTGAAATTCTGTTCTATGTGTATCTGATGTATAGGCAAAGGTGTGTAGTTCTTAAAAAAAAAGAAAAGTTAGTCAAATGATATAACAAAGAAGGATGTGTTACTGTCAGGAAAAAAAGAGGCAAAGATATGTAATTCTGTGGAAAAAGAAAAGACAGTCTAGCAATTGATATAACAAACAAAGTTGTGTAACTGTCAAAAAAAAATTAAATAACAAAGGTGTATAACTATCGGAAATAAAAGACACGCAAAGAGTAAACGTTACAACAATTTAAGTTGCATAGCATAACTTGGAAAAAAATGCATTCAAAACAATGGGGTATAACCGTATCAGACCCCCCCCCCCCTTCCCCCCACCCTGAAAATAAGAACTTTTCAACAAAAAAAGGAAAAGTGCAGAAATAGCACTTAAAAAAAGGGGGGGGGAGTGCTGCAGAAATAAGACATGTATACTTTTAACTTTGTACACAGCTTACAGCTTTTGTATTTTGATAGAAGCTCCACAGACACCTGAAGAAGAAAATAAAACTGAAATGGAAGATGATGCTGCTGAAAAGGAAAAAGTAAAATCACCCAAGAAAAGTGCAAAAGAGAGAAAAATTGAAGATGAAGTTCAGGGCTTAGTTCATAACATGAACACCACCAACAAGCACTTCAGAACGGAGGGTAGGTCATTTAAAATTACACCACCAATAAGCACTTCAGAACAGAGGGTAGGTCATTTAAAATAACACCACCAATAAGCACTTCAGAACAGAGGGTAGGTCATTTAAAATAACACCACCAATAAACACTGCAGAACAGAGGGTAGGTCATTAGCTCACCTGAGCCGAAGGCTCAAGTGAGCTTTTCTGATCACATTTTGTCTGTAGTCCGTCTGTCCGTCTGTCCGCCTGTCTGTCCGTCTGTCCGTCTGTAAACTTTTCACATTTTCGACTTCTTCTCAAGAACCACTGGGCCAATTTCAACCAAACTTGCCACAAAGTATCCTTGGGTAAAGGGGATTCAAGTTTGTTCAAATGAAGGGCCACGCCCTCTTCCAAGGGGAGATAATTAAGAATTCGTGAAAAATTAATGGCATCATTAAAAAATCTTCTTCTCAAGAACCACTGTGCTTGAAAACATGAAACTTATGTGGAAGCATCCTCAGGTAGTGTAGATTCAAATTTGTTCAAATCATGACCCCCGGGGGTAGGGTGGGGCCGCAATGGGCGATCAAAGTTTTACATAGGAAATATACAGGAAAAATCTTTAAAAATCTTCTTCTCAAGAACAGCAAAGCCATACTTGGTCATATTTATATGGTAGCATCCTCAGATAGTGTACATTCAAGTTTGTTCAAATCATGACCCCCGGGGGTCGGGTGGGGCCACAATGGGCCATCAAAGTTTTACATAGGAATATATAGGAAAAATCTTCAAAAATCTTCTTCTCAAAAACAGCAAAGCCATGATTGGTCATATTTACTTGGAAGCATCCTCAGGTAGTGTAGATTCAAGTTTGTTCAAATCATGACCCCCGGGGGTAGGGTGGGGCCACAATGGGCGATCAAAGTTTTACATAGGAATATATAGGAAAAATCTTTAAAAATCTTCTTCTCAAGAATAGCAAAGCCATGATTGGTCATATTTACTTGGAAGCATCCTCAGGTAGTGTAGATTCAAGTTTGTTCAAATCATGACCCCCGGGGGTAGGGTGGGGCCACAATGGGCGATCAAAGTTTTACATAGGAATATATAGGAAAAATCTTTAAAAATCTTCTTCTCAAGAATAGCAAAGCCATGATTGGTCATATTTACATGGAAGCATCCTCAGGTAGTGTAGATTCAAATTTGTTCAAATCATGACCCCCGGGGGTCGGGTGGGGCCACAATCGGCGATCAAAGTTTTGCATAGGAATATATAGGAAAAATCTTTAAAAATCTTCTTCTCAAGAACAGCAAAGCCATGATTGGTCATATTTACATGGAAGCATCCTCTCATAGTGTAGATTCAAATTTATTCAACTCATGACCCCCGGGGGTCGGGTGGGGCCACAATGGGCGATCAAAGTTTTACATAGGAACACATAGTAAAAATTCTAAAAAAATAACAATTTGTTAAGAATAGCAAAGCCATGATTGGTCATATTTATATGGTAGCATCCTCAGATAGTGTACATACAAATTTGTTCGAATCATGACCCCCGGGGGTCGGGTGGGGCCACAATGGGCGATCAAAGTTTTACATTGGAACACATAGTAAAAATCTTTAAAAAAAACTATTCTCAAGAATAGCAAAGCCATGATTGGTCATATATATATGGAAGCATTCTTAGATAGTGTACATTCAAGTTTGTTCAAACATGACCCCTGGGGGTCGGGTGGGGCCACAATGGGTGATCAAAGTTTTACATAGGAATACGTGGGTTAAATCTTTAAAAATCTTCTACTCAAGAACAGCAAAGCCATGATTGGTCATATTTAAATGGAAGCATCCTCAGATAATGTAGATTCAAATTTGTTCAATTCCTGACACCCCCCCCCCCCCCCAATCACTTTTATATTTAAACTTTTCAACCCTTCAAGATTGAAGTGATTTCTGCTTTTTCCTAGCCATAGTGCTCAGGTGAGCGATGTGGCCCCTGGGCCTCTTGTTTAAAATAAAGTCGCCAATGAGCATTTCAGAACGGAGGGTAGGTCATTTAAAATAACACCACCAATAAGCATTTCAGAACAGAGGGTAGGTCATTTAAAATAAAGCTGCCAATGAGCATTTCAGAACAGAGGGTAGGTCATTTAAAATAACACCACCAATAAGCATTTCAGAAGAGAGGGTAGGTCATTTAAAATAACACCACCTATTAGCATTTCAGAACAGAGGGTAGGTCATTTAAAATAAAGCTGCCAATGAGCATTTCAGAACAGAGGGTAGGTCATTTAAAATAACACCACCAATAAGCATTTCAGAATGGAGGGTAGGTCATTTAAAATAACACCACCAATGAGCATTTCAGAATGGAGGGTAGGTCATTTAAAATAACACCACCAATGAGCATTTCAGAATGGAGGGTAGGTCATTTAAAATAACGCCGCCAATGAGCACTTCAGACCAGAGGGTAGGTCATTTAGATTAACACCACCAATAAGCATTTAAGAACGGAGGGTAGGTCATTTAAAATAACACCACCAATAAGCATTTTAGAACAGAGGGTAGGTTATGTAGAATGTCTTATTTGTGTGTTATTTGTTATTCTCTACATTTGTCACAAAAATCTCTCTGAATGCCTTTTATTGGTTGTATCACCAGGGTGGGGGTCAAAATTTGATATTGTAAGCAGGGTTTTAGAATTATCTTTTCCAGTTGCCTTGGGCAAGTGGGAAAAATTCTCTGTAAGGTAAGGTGCCAAACTAACCCATCCAAGAAATTAATAATATCTAGAAGGAAATCTCTAATACTTTATTTGAAATAAAACCCTGAACAAAACTTCACAAACAGGTTTTATTCAACTACATCCTACATCAACAGGCTGAAGTTACTGGTTGTTAACCACCATTTCAAAACGGGAAATAAGATTGGAAAATAAAAAGAAAACTAATGCAATACATAATATTAAATATACAGTAATAATCAATATTGCAGTAAATATTTTTACCTAAAAATCTCTTAAATTATTGTTAATGATTCTAGAACAACTGTGCTGTATCATTGAATAAAAGTAGGAAAAGTTATATGAAATATATAGTGAAATGAAAAAAATATTACATTTATTATGCTACGGTGGTCCTCTAGAAAATCACCTTTGGCTATATGAAACCAAAATTTCATATCTATTTTATTGTTGCATCCTTTTGTCTCTGAAAGGGACTGGACATCAAAGAATTTAAGTCTAGGCCAGTTCCGGGTGGGCCCAAAGTGGTCAAAGCCTGAAAAACTTATGATACTAGGGTGATCATTAAGGCCCATGGGCCTCTTGTATCTGATGTATTACCATATAGCCAGTTTCTTAAGTGGGTGTAAAATTTGGCATTTTGCTCACTCAAAGGTATGCCATTAATTTGGCAGAAACAGAATTTCATGATGTTGCAAGGGGGAGAGAGATTTCTTCTAGACAAGTTTTAAGTGTGTTTAATAAAAGTTTGAATGCTGATTTACATAAGAATTTTAGGAAAAGCCAATACTAGATGAGAGATAATGTTAAATAGAGGACTGATCAAAGCTATTGTTTCTTGTATTCAGCACTTGTACACAAGGGTAAAAAGTTAGCAATTAAAATTTTAGTGGGCCACTATAAAACCTCTAAAAAAAAAGTCTAAGTTACCACCTCTCTTTAAATTTCCACAATATGGTAATAAGTCTCTTTTGGGCATGAAAAAAAATCAATGATTATTTTAAAGATGCCAGAATTAAATGTGTCATGACTTTGTAGGTTACCGTATAAACTATATATTGGCAATATAAGTTCTTTTGTAATAATATGTAATAGTGGGTGCAATGTAGACAGAATCACTATCAAATACTTCCTAGTATAAATTTTAAATCTTTTAGTCATTGGTTTATTTTCTCTTATCTGTTCATACTCTGATATTTTGTGTATGGATATTGTATTTACAATAAACATACTAATAATAGTGGGATATTTACTTATAATAGTGAGATTTTTGTCTAATCTATAGAATTAATTAGCTTCTTCTAAATTTCTTTTAATGGTTGTTACAATAATTTATGAAGTTTTTTTTTTTTTAATTTTATTGCACTTTGAATATTTTTCTTTCAGTCAAAGCCACTTGTCGACAAATGAAACGAATAAATTACATCTTGGACTTTATCAGAGAGAATAAAATCATAGATGGTACTTTTCCTATTGTCAAGGTAACAGTCTATTGAGCATAACTCTATCACTCTTGACCAGTAAAAATAACAAGGATGCAAAATTTTTTCAGAAAAGAAAATCTCAGGCTGTGATACAACAAGAAATTTTAAAAATTCAAAAATATGAATTTTGATTCAGATTCTTGCAGTTACATGTGACACATGTAGCTGTGAAATCAATGTATAGCATGGGTAGTCGTATCTATGGGCACCCTTATCCATGGAGTAATAGCTTAAAAGAAAAGAGATACTGTAAACCAACTTTTATTCAAGTGCGAGAAATATCCACGAGTTTCACAACCTACTTTAAGGACATACACAACGTAGTTTGAACTTTATTGTCTTTTTACCTGGAGTTGAAGAGTTCCAATACTTAAAGGAATTGTGTGCTACATTTTAATGTCTATATTTGCTGTTGTACACTTCTTCTAAAACAAGTTTAGATAAACAAAATATCTAGAATATATGCTTCATAATTTTTGTGTATTTTCTTTGAATTATACAAGAATTTTCATCAATTGATATCTTTTCAAAACCCCTGGTAATGCATGCTGACTTTTTGTCTACGAACATCTGATGGCACTATAATCTTAAATTAAGATTATCTTGAAAAATTATCAGTAGGTAAGGTACGTTGCGTATGTCCTTAACTCACAAATATTAATCGCCACAAACTATTTATTTTGCTTTGTATTTGTAGAGAATGTTTCCTCAGTCACGAAAATTAATCGTCACGGATTGATTTTGAATGGACTAATCATGAATAAAAGATAACACAAATAATAGTTGGTTTTACAGTATATCTCATGTATTATGCAAGCATTAGGCAAGCTGTATTTCTTAGCCTCATTTCCAACTAATTATCTTTTTTATCTGTGTAATAATGTGAAATTCTAGAAGTGTATGAAAATTAGCTTTAAGAATTACAATTATAACAATTCCAAATCATTGGTTTCTGTGTACTAAAACTGTGGATTTTTGTGACGTTTATTAAGATGATTCGAGAAAAAGAGCAAAGTGAGAACTTTGAATACGTTGTTGACAAGAAGACAGTGGTTCGTCTTCTGTCTGTCCTGGCCAAGGAACAAAAGATCAACATTGTCAATACAGTGCTTGTGGATGGAAATAAGGAAAAAAAGGTCAGATTTAATAAACAGTTAGATTTTGGTCAAAATTTTAAGATATATTGATGTTATATCCCATAACAGATAATAATAGATGGTTTTGTGTGCATGAGTTACACAGTGTATTTTTAAATTCCTTAATTTTTAACACGTTACAGAACTAAGAATAAATTCTTATACCACTGAGTCAAAACAGAAGGATAGACAGACGACAGGAGATCATTGTATGTTACAACATTTGTTATAATTTACATTTACACGTATGTTGATAGATGCAAATGATGATGAGTAAGGAGGTAGAACCGACGGATCAACTGGTGACATCCCTTATTGACCAGGCTAACATGAAGTTCCAGGCCATCAACAAGGAACAGATCGCCAAGAAAAATCCAAAATCCAGGGACTTCTCAGTAAGACTCTTTCTTATCATGGTAACAAATCTCAGGACTGCTCAATAAGACTCCCACTTGTCTTGGTAAGAAATCCAGGGACTTCTCAATCTCAATAAGACTCCCTCTTATCTTGGTAACAAATCCTAGGACCTCTGAGTAGGACTTCCACTTGGTTTGTAAAGTTAACATTTTAAAAATCAAATGTTGAAGGACCAACAGATTGTGACTCATGAATCCTTGTATTTTATAATTCCAGAAAATACCAGAGACTGCAAAAGAAGGTATTTTCCAAATTATGTCACATCGCAGTAAGCTGAAAGCCCAAGATATGATATATGATGTGGTAAGAGAATGTGTGACTTAGACTGCTCTAATTCTATTCAGTCAGTCCATTTCTGAAATCAGTTCAATTAAATGTGTTTCTGATATTTTTTTTTGTTTTTAAAAAGTGCTTTTGAAATCATTTCTGAAAAAAATCTGCAAAATTTATTTTGTGTTTCAAAGCTAAAGCAGAAAAATTGGACTTGTAAAAGCTGTAGTGATTTTTTTTAAACAGGCCTATTCGAAGCATTATGATTTCCGCCCAAAGTTTTCTCGAGCTCAGATTCTTCATAATTTGTTGTGGTACATGGTGTATGGCTGTCAAGAGACTACATCTTGTCCTCCTGATCTTGTGAATGATCCTGGAACTACCTCTAATCAGGCAGATATCAGCACTCAGGACAATAGTGAAGAAGAAGGAGATGTGAGTTAGATATAGAGAAAAAAGAGAAATTAATGGAATCATTAGAATACATCCACTGAATACTATCTCCTTTATTTCTTAAGAAAACCATTGCCGTTTATCAGTCAGTAAACACTGCCAGGCATATCACCTCTACAGATTCCTTGAGCAGTGGCTCTTCCATCAATGAAATGTACAATGACATTCATATCAATAATACAGTATTTAATCTCCTTAATCCTACTTTAAATGATTATTTGTACAGATATAAATATAAACAATACAATGCTTTCTTTGGTTGTTAGTACAGGAATTAGTGTTGCAGCTTTTGCAGAAAAAAATTACATAACCTGCTTATGCAGGTTATATATTTTTTCTGCAACAGTTGCAACATTAATTCCAGAACTACCAACCAAAGAAAGCATTGTATTGTTTTAAGACAATAACAGGATGTCTTGTTATACTATCAAGTGAATTATGTACTGTTAGTTATTTGTTCTGTTGCTGCCATCTATGTTGCAAAATTAACATTTTTTAGCTCACCTGAGCCGAAGGCTCAAGTGAGCTTTTCTGATCACATTTTGTCTGTAGTCTGTCTGTCCGTCTGTCTGTCTGTCCGTCCGTCCGTCTGTAAACTTTTCACATTTTCGACTTCTTCTCAAGAACCACTGGGCCAATTTCAACCAAACTTGCCAGAAAGTATCCTTGGGTGAAGGGGATTCAAGTTTGTTCAAATGAAGGGCCACGCCCTCTTTCATGGGGAGATAATGAAGAATTAGTGAAAAATTAGTAGCATCTTTTAAAAATCTTCTTCTCAAGAACCACAAAGCCAGGGAAGATGAAACTCATGTGGAAGCATCCTCAGGTAGTGTAGATTCAAGTTTGTTCATATCATGACCCCCGGGGGTAGGGAGGGGCCACAGTGGAGGATCAAATTTTTATATAGAAATATATAGGAAAAACCTTTAAAAATCTTCTTCTCAAGAACAGCAAAGCCATGATATGTCATATTTATATGGAAGCATCCTCAGGTAGTGTAGATTCAAGTTTGTTCAAATCATGACCCCCGGGGGTAGGGCGGGGCCACAATGGAGGATCAAAGTTTTACATTGAAATATATAGGAAAAACCTTTAAAAATCTTCTTCTCAGGAACAGCAAAGCCCTGATTGATCATATTTATGTGGAAGTATCCTCAGGTAGTGTAGATTCAAGTTTGTTCAAATCATGACCCCCTGGGGTAGGGCAGGGCCACAGTGGAGGATCAAAGTTTTACATAAAAATATATAGGAAAAACCTTTAAAAATCTTCTTCTCAAGAACAGCAAAGCCATGATGAGTCATATTTAAGTGGAAGTATACTCAGGTAGTGTAGATTCAAGTTTGTTCAAATCATGACCCCCCGGGGGTAGGGCGGGGCCACAATGGAGGATCAAAGTTTTACATCGAAATCTATAGGAAAAACCTTTAAAAATCTTCTTCTCAAGAACAGCAAAGCCCTGATTGATCATATTTACATGGAAGTATCCTCAGGTAGTGTAGATTCAAGTTTGTTCAAATCATGACCCCCGGGGGTAGGGCGGGGCCACAATGGAGGATCAAAGTTTTACATAGAAATATATAGGAAAAACCTTTAAAAATCTTCTTCTCAAGAACAGCAAAGCCCTGATTGATCATATTTATGTGGAAGTATCCTCAGGTAGTGTAGATTCAAGTTTGTTCAAATCATGACCCAGGGGGTAGGGCGGGGCCACAATGGAGGATCAAAGTTTTACATAGAAATATATAGGAAAAACCTTTAAAAATCTTCTTCTCAATGACAGTAAAGCCCTAATTGGTCATATTTATATTGCAGCATCCTCAGGTAGTGTAGATTCAAATTTGTCCAAATCATGACCCCTGGGGGTAGGGCGGGGCCACAATGGAGGATCAAATTTTTACAGAGAAATATATAGGAAAAATCTTTAAAAATCTTCTTCTCAATAACAGCAAAGCCCTAATTGGTCATATTTATATGAAAGCATCCTCAGGTAGTGTAGATTCAAGTTTGTTCAAATCATGACCCCCCGGGGGTAGGGCGGGGCCACAGTGGAGGATCAAAGTTTTACATAGAAATATATAGGAAAAATCTTCAAATATCTTCTTCTCAGGAACAGCAATGCCATGATGAGTCATATTTATGTGGAAGTATCCTCAGGTAGTGTAGATTCAAGTTTGTTCAAATCATGACCCACTGGGGTAGGGTGGGGCCACAATGGAGGATAAAAGTCTGAAATAGAAATATATAGGAAGATATGTTCTGATGAAGAACTGCAAAGCCAATATTAGTCATTTTGATATGGAAGCATCCTCAGGTAGTGTAGATTCAAGTTTGTTAAAATGATGACCCCAGGGGATAGGGATGGGCCATAATGGGGGATCGAAAATTTTACATAGGAACATATAGGAAAATATCTTCTTCTCAAGAACTGAAAATCATGTTTAGTCATTTTGATATGGAAGCATCCTCAGGTAGTGTAAATTCAATTTTGTTCAAATGATGACCCCCGAGGGTAGGATGGGGCCCAATAAGGGGATCGAAAGTTTTACGTAGGAATATATAGAAAAAATTTCTTCTCAAGAACAGAAAAGCTATGTTTAGTCATATTGATATGGAAGCATCCTCAGGTAGTGTAGATTCAAGTTTGTTCAAATGATGACCCCAGGGATAGGGAGGAGCCACAATGGGGGATCAAATTTTTACAGAGGAATATATGGGAATTTTTTTAAAAAATCTTCTCAAGTACAACAAAGCCATTTGTTAAAACAAATTATATATTGACATGGAAGCATCATCAGGTAGTTTAAAATTCAAGCCCCCCCCCCCCCCCCCCCCCCCCCCGCTAATCTTTTCAATACTGAACTGATTTGTGCTTTTGCCTTGCCAATGTGCTCAGGTGAGCAATGTGGCCCATGGGCCTCTTGTTTTATTTTCCCAAATTTATTCCATCCATTGTTTGATTTGTTTTTTTGTTTTTTTTTTTGTTTTTTTTTTTTTTTTAATATCAAAATTAGGAAGGCATTGTGACACTGATAAATAAAATTCCTAAACCGCCTGTGTACAAAGATGAGATGTCATGGAAACGTTTCCTCTCCCCGCTACCTAAGCACAAAGGTAGGTGTCAGCAAACTGTTCCATATTACAGCTCACGTTAACAAAATCAAGAACTTAACCTACTTGTACATCTCATATAGATTTCTAAGGAATAACATATAATATTTCATAACAATTTGAACTGTGACAAAGCCTGAGTTTAAAATAAATATTTTTTAAACTGTATTTGATGTACAGGTTATGGAGAAGGATGGTTTCTGGCCAGTGATATCTTACTGAAAATACCGCTGGTGATATTCTGTAACATTCTCTATATACCATACAGGGTAAGTTTTTTTGTATGCAAAAATTAAGTCATTAATTTTCAGCGAAGTGTTTTTAAGATTAAAAAACTATTCGAATTTGGTTTTGTAGCATTTTGAAGTGATAATGTTGAAAACTGCATAAAATAGTGTAGCAAATTATTTAAATTCCCCATCCTAATTATAACTTATGGATTAGAATCTCAACCATTGGAGAACATTAAAAAGTTAACCTTGATGGACTAGATCCCAAAATTTAAAACCACAGAAATTACCCATTTTATAGTAGTTCTCATAATATTTATTCATTGTAGTTTGTACGCATGAAAAAAAAAATCTCAGTTATAATCATTTAAAAGTATTTTAAGCAAAATCTCTTCTTCATTTCTTACTCAGTCCGTGAGACATAGTACAACATATTCCCCTGATTCCGCTGTCGGTTATGTTAAAAGTAGACTAATTCTGTGTTTTGTAGATTCGGGGGCTGAAGGAGCTTCTTGATGATCCGGAGAAATGTTTTTACCCTGTTATCAGTCTGCCCACCCCGATTACCCAGCAGCTCCTGTATGCCCGCAAATACATCTTCTCTTTCTACAGTAACTGTGTCAACCTCTGTAACATGGGACTGGTTACCATGGGGCCTCAGATACTCAAGGAAAAAGACAAGGTATTCTCAAGGACTTCTTGAAATGAAGACTTTGTTACTTTTGGAAATGAGGACTCTAATGTTTGAGCAATACATGCGTTGCTCATTTTACCTCAGTTGCCAGGTTATTCAAGAATTTGTGGCCTATTGTTCCTGCATAACTGCCAATTTTCACTGGCAATAACTTGCAAATCACAATCATATGTTGCAAAGTTTACCAATGATGCATCTTTTGTTAGTAGCTGATATATAACACAATGTTAATGGGAAGCACTATTAGCAATATAGTTGCATTCTTTTTGTGAGTTGCAGTTATATTAGAAAAGTTTTGTTGTAAATTTGTGCATAATTATATACACAATAAAACACACTACAGCAAAGTGCCAGGGACCAACAATTTTGTTTTTTTAAAAGTGTAATTTAAAAATTCTTATAAGTTAGTAATAGATTTTGAAATTACGGGGAATAAATCACTTGCCATGAGCATGTTCGTTGTTACCATTTTTTCTGTACTTTTATGTATTATCTGTTCATGTTGGATATTTTCTACAAAAGCTTTATATTTAACATTTCATTCTGAGGCATTTTCTTTTTGTAGATCTTTTTCCTTGTTCTACACTAAGTGCTCAGAATTTACAATTTGAGACATTTTCTATTTTTAGATCTTTATCTACCTCCACAAGAGGGTAAGCTTGTTAGACACTAAAGGCTCTGAGCCTGGTTTCTGTAAAGTCAGGCTGAAGGAGAGGCCGGTGTCCTTAGATTACTGGCTAGTGAACCAAGCTATGGTGGACCAGTACTGGGTGGACCTCAAGCATATTTCCCTAAATAGCAACCTGGCTCACAAAGGTATACATCCCTCCTACATGTATTAATGTAAGGAAAAGGGTCAATGCTTAATTTTAATTACAGTCATTTGTAGAGGATCATTTCTGGTAGGAATGCATGGAAAGCAGATGATATACAAAATTTCAGACAAAAGAGATAACTTCACTTCACCTGTACAATAATATCAAATAAACGAGATGATTCTCCTTCATATCTGTATAGTGATATCAAAGAAATGAAAATGATTTTGTTTCATTTCTGATGAAGTGATTTTGGTTTATTTCAGTACCATATTATGAGATGATTTTGCTTTGTGTCTGTACCATTATACCCCTACAAGAAAAATTTTACTCCATGTCCATATCATTATATGAGATGATTTTGCTTCATGTCTGTACCATGATACAAGACGATTTTGCTTCATGTCTGTACCATTATATGATTTGTTTTTGCCTTATGTCCCTGCCATGATACAAGATTAATTTGCTTCCTGCCAGTACCGTTATGTCTGAACACCATGATAAGGGAGATAATCTTTTTTCTGTACCATGATTCCAGACAAACGAGAAGAAGAGGAGGAGCCTGACAGTAGGCTCATAGCTCTGCCAGACGCACGTTCTGTAAAATCAGTAGACGACATAAAGGAAGATGGATTTGTTCCGGGGGATCGACTGGGTGCAGCAGGCCTGGATTCCAACACATTTCCGTAAGTAATGAAATTAGGAGAATTCTCACTTGTGTCTGTTATTTTTACTTTTGTTTTATTTATAGATATCCTGAGTTCCTTGTCTGCCTTTACACAATTCTGTTTGTTGGGCAATTTGTTTAACAAACTTTAACCAGTTAAGAGCATTTCATAACGGACAAAATCTAGTGCCCCCCCCCCCCCCAAAAAAAATCAAATTATGATATGGAAGGTTTGTTCTAATTATACCCCACGCAACAAGTTGCGTGAGGTATAATGTTTTTGACCCGTCCGTCAGTCAGTCAGTCAGTGTGTCAGTCAGTCAGTCAGTCAGTCCGTCAGTCCTGTTTTTTTGTCAGCGCAACTCCTCATAAACTGCTGCACAGAATTTCGTCAAACTTTGCAGATATTTAGGACACAATGTGTAGATGTGCATATTACCAGGAAATTCCGATTCCTTTATTTTTTCTTGGAATTTCGGCACTTTTCAACTTAGATTTTTGGCCATATCTTGAATATGGAGATGAACAGTTTGTCAGCGCAACTCCTCATAAACCAATGCACAGAATTTGGTCAGACTTTGCAGATATTTAGCACACAATGTATAGATGTGCATATTACCAGGAAATTCCGATTCCTTTATATTTTCTTGGAATTTCGGCACTTTTCAACTTAGATTTTTGGCCATATCTTCAATATAAAGATGAACAGTTTGTCAGCACAACTCCTCTTAAACCGCTGCACAGAATTTGGTCAAACTTTGCAGATATTTAGGACACAATGTGTAGATGTGCATATTACCAGGAAATTCCGATTCCATTATTTTTCTGGGAATTTCAGCACTTTTCAACTTAGGTTTTTGGCCATATCTTGAATATAGAGATGAACAGTTTGTCAGCACAACTCCTCTTAAACCGCTGCACAGAATTTGGACAAACTTTGCAGATATTTAGTACACAGTGTGTAGATGTGCATATTACCAGGAAATTCCGATTCCATTATTTTTGCCTTAAGAGTTTTGCCTTTTATTGAAGAAACTTTCCAGCTAGGTAATAAGAAACTCCACTGGAATCAGCTTTTTATAATGAAATTCTATGTGAAATATTTTATGACCTTAAAAGACCCCTATTGATTTTGAGATCAAAATATTAATGGTTTAACACAAACACACACTCACACACACACCATCTTCGATAGTTCTCCTCTCCCCCCCCCCCCCCCCCCCCCCCCCCCCCCTTCAAATTGGTGTGCTTTGCCTTAAATAATTTCATAAGTACAGTATATAAACAGATTCATATGACTACATCATAATTTTGTTTCCATCAATTATTTAAATGTGTAAACTGTCATGTGTTGGACATGGACTTACACTCATTAACAAATCGAAATCACTGAGGAATTTAAATAACAGTTTGTCAGCATAATTCCGGCACTGAATTTCCTGAAACTTTGTAGGTATTTCAGAATAATGTATAGATTTGTATATTACCAAGAAATTTTGATTCCATTATTTATCTAGAAACTTCAGCCCAGTTAAATTTGTAACATACAAAGATTTGAATGTCCTTATATGCAAGAAGTTTTGATGTGATGATTTTTTGCAAGTAATGCCCCTTTTTTGAATTATACTGTGTATTTAAAATGCACTGTGCCATTCATTACGTGTTGCATTGTCGAGTTTTGGGGAAGCGTGGGGTATGTGAGCTTGCTCACTTTTTCTTTCATTTTGTATGTATGCATTAAATTATGAGGACATTGTTCTCATGTTTTCTTCAGACATTTATTCAGAAACTGGAGTGGTGTATATGGTCGGGCTACTAAGTCCATAAAGAGTTATAGACAATACTATAAAGGTAAGATCCAAACAAAACATCAGATATTGTTTTCTTACACAGATTTTATGCCATGATTTATGTAGCAAAGTTAATATTCCAATAAATTTCCAATTAGTATGGATCCATAAGTCTATTAGCTTTAGTGCATGTATCAGAGGTTTTAAGACATATCTTAAATACTAGTGGCATGACTGTTTCATGCATTCTTTTTTTATATGCTAAATTAACTTGTAGAAGGAGAAAAGAAGCCAGAACCATATATTGAAAAGAGGAATAATTATGTCGATCTTCAGAAAGTGAGGAATACCAAATTATCCATGATACTGCCCAGACCCAAAGCTCGAGTATCGCTGAAAACTAGAGGTTTGTCGACAGTTGTGTATGGATACATATGGTATAAATAAATAAGAATGCTGGAAAAATTGAGTGATAATGTTTGGAAATGAATTTTGAAGAAAGTGCATGTTGATGATCGTAACTCAAACACATATACATACTAGAAAATTTGAGGTAAAAAAATACTTTAAAAGTTGCTAGAGTTTCAGTTGGATTAAAGTGAACATTAATTTCTGCAGAAAAATCACCAGAAATAATCCGTGTGACCTTGACCAAGCAGGTCAAAGGAAACAAGGGAGGAAAGGGAATTAAGCGTAAATCTACAGGTAAGTCAGAGTAAGGTGTCAATCAACATTTACAGGTAAGTCAGAGTAAGGTGTCAATCAACATTTACAGGTAAGTCAGAGTAAGATGTCAATCAACATTTACAGGTAAGTCAGAGTAAGATGTCAATCAGCATTTACAGGTAAGTCAGAGTAAGGTGTCAATCAACATTTACAGGTAAGTCAGAGTAAGGTGTCAATCAACATTTACAGGTAAGTCAGAGTTAGGTGTCAATCAACATTTACAGGTAAGTCAGAATAAGGTGTCAATCAACATATAAAGGTGAGTCAAAATTAAGTGTTAATCTTCAGGAAAGTTTCGAGGAAGGTTAAATGTGTCGGACAAAAAGATATAGGGATGAAAGATGGAAATACTGCATGCCCAATGTCTATAAATCTAGCAATAAGATGAATTTACATACAATGTTACAATAGGAAACAATTGTTATAAGGATATTATTTCTTTAATTACATGAAAAAAATTGAAACATGTCCCTTCTTTTATTGTATATTACAACTGACAGACAAAAAAAGAAAGGTAGATTTCATTTATTTTGCAATACAAATGATGAATTGGGGCATTCATTTTCTGTTTGCAAATTTCTGTGTTTTTATTACTGTTAGAAAAAATTTAACTTGATTAGATTTTATTTAAAAGTGAATGTTTTTGTTTCTTAAAGAAATTAGAAGCAGCATTCCAGCAAAGAAAGCAAGATCTTTACTGCAGAAAGTCAGGAAGAAGATTGTGAAGCCCAGGAAGCGTAAGAGATTTCATTTCATTTATACTCCCAATGTTTTAAAGAAATATCCTCCATTATGATATGATTGAATAATTCCCATCTCTCTGATTGGTTGAGATCGAACAATGTTAGAAAAATACTACTTAATATTGACCTGCACGTGACCTTCCAGGTCAGTATAAGGAATTATTCTACATTGGACCAAAAATAGATAGGGAAATTCCAAATTGAAACAAATAGTTTTGGATAGTTATTTCACTTGCACCTGACTTCCACTCATATGAACATAACATTAAGGCACATAGATTCTTGGGTGAGGGGTGGGGGTGGTGGGTTGTAGGAGGCCTGCTCATCTTCCCACCTTTTGAGAATCTTTTAATTTAAATTTTAAGGATAACAAATTTCAGTGAAATCCCCCCTCACCTTGTTTAGGGACCTTTACATCCCACCAAATAAAATTTTGAGTTTGGAGATTTTTTTTCCTTTTTTTGGGGGGGGGGGGGGGGGGAGGGGCTAGTCAAAGATTTGTTTTCATTGTTTTTTTCGTTTTATTGCCCTCATTTTCAAAATCAATCCTATATATATTTACGTGCCTGGCATATATTTTTTCTACATTTCATCTAAACTAGAATTAAAAATTCCAGAATAATACAACTCGTTGTTTTTTGACCCTGTTTCTCTCATTATGTTCGGCTAGTGCTGTACTTCAGTAGATGTGACCAAGTAAGATGGCATGGATTGCTTAATGAGTGTGTGTCATTTAATCATTGAATCATATAATAAAACAATTATTGCTGTTTTTTTGGTCAATACAATGATTTAGCCACCTTCGAAGTACAATATTCACCTCGCCCTTTAGACTCGGTGAATATTGTACTCCTCAGGTGTATAAATCATCGTATTGACCTCAAAAACCAGCAATAATTGTATAGTATGGTAATAAAATCAAAATGTCATATATATCTGTATGTGTCAGGTACTCTGCATGATCATGATTGTTTAGCAAAATGTACATGTACCTTAAAGAGGTCTTCAGAGCCATTCGAATTGTTTTTAACTCACCTGAGCTGAAAACTCAAGTGAGCTTTTCTGATCACAATCTGTCTGTCTGTGTAGCTGTCTAGCCGCCTGTAAACTTTTCACATTTTCGACTTCTTCTCCAGAACCACTGGGCCAATTTCAACCAACTTGCTACAAAGCATCCTTGGGTGAAGGGGGTTCAAGTTTGTTCAAATGAACAATCTTCCAAGGGGAGATAATTAAGAATTGGTGAAAATTTGGTGTCATCTTTTAAAAATCTTCTTCTCGAGAACCATTGGGCCAGAAAAGTTGAAACTTACATGATACCTTCATTACATTGTGTAGATTCAAATTTCTTCAAATCATGACCCTGGGAGGGGTGAGGCCACAATGAGGGATCAAAGTTTTACATAGGAATATATAGGAAAATTCTTTAAAAAATCTTCCTCTCAAGAACAACAAAGCCACAATTAGTCATATTGATATGGAATCATCCTCAGGTAGTGTAGATTCAAGTTTGTTGAAATCATGACCCCGGGGGTAGGGTGGGGCCAAAATGGGGGATCAAAGTTTAACGTAGGAATAAATAGGAAAATTCTTTAAAAAATCTTCTTCTCAAGAACAACAAAGCCACAATAAGTCATATTGATATGGAATCATCCTCAGGTAGTGTAGATTCAAGTTTGTTGAAATCATGACCCCTTGGAGTAGGGTGGGGCCACAATGAGGGATCAGAGTTTTATCTTTAAAAATCTTTTCAAGAAGAGGAAAGCCATGATTAGTCATATTGATATTGAAGCATCCCCAAGTAATGATGTAGAATCAAGTTTGTTCAAGCATCCTCCAGTAGTAGGATGGGGGCATAAGGGGGATCAAAGTTTAACGAAAGAATTTTATATAGGAAATATCTTTAAAAATCTTCTTTTCAAGAACATCAAAGCCATGATTAGTCATATTGATATGGAAGCATCCTCAGATCGTGTAGATTCAAGTTTGTTCAAATCATGACCCCCCTACCCCCAGGGTAGGGTGGCAGACATCTTTAAAGTTCCATTTTCAAGAACAGCAAAACCATGATTAGTTATATGAATATAGAAGCATCCTCAGAAAGTTTCGATTCATTTTCATTCAAAACATGGCACCTGGGGGTAGGGTATGCCTAGAACAGGTGATCAAAGCTTTACATTTGAATATATAGGAGAAGAAATCTGCTGACGAAGAATAGCAGGGCCATATTGACTCAGGTGAGCGTTGTGACCCATGGGCCTTTTGTTTGATTTATACATTCAAGAGCTTTAAAATTAAGGAAAATAGCAATAAAACATTTAGAAACATCGTTTTATATAAATATTCAAAACATACAGAATTTAAAAATGCATTGCTTTTACATTTATAATTGAAAATTCAGTTTTGGTCCCAAATCCTTGACAACAAAAGATCTCGGAGAAAGCATTGATGCTCTATGGGTATAATGGAATGTGCATAGGTCATTGACGTTATTATGATCAGTTATTTAATTAACATTTCGTTATTACAACTGTGATACATAAAACAAATTAAAATAAATTCTGAGGCTGGTTCATCTGTTTGATTAGAATGGGGTCTTCAATATGCATGTATTTTTTTTTGGTGTGATATTGTATTTCAGAATATTTAAATAACATTTTTTTACTTTTAAGTTTTGTATTATTATCTTGTTTTCTGAGATTGGTATAATCTGAGGTCTCTTATTCCGTTGACAGGGAAGTTTTTATATGACGATGTTGACGAGGAAGCCTACAACAAGAAATTGTCACAGAGAGTATCGTGGTCCTCGTACGAAGACAGCCTGGTAAGACACTGACGGGGATGTGTAGTCTTTGCATTGACAATCGGAGTAAAACTGGTCCTCTATCCACTCTTAATTGTCCTCCCTTTTCAAGAAAGCAAGGGGACATTAAATCTTACTCCTCTGTTCATCTGTCAGTCTATCTGCCTCATAAACTTCAACCTTAGTCATGGCTTTTGAATGAGAGAAAATAGGGCTTTCATATTTAATATGTGAGAAGACCTTTTTAAGTGTTGTAAGATATTTTGACCTTGACATTTGACCTACTTTTTATACTTTACTGACCTCACTTGAAGTTTTGACTTAGTTATAAAAAAATTAACTTGGCCTTAGCTTTTGCATTTAAAGATACAATGGTTTCATATAATTTTAAATACACCATGACAAGACCTTTCCAAATATACACCATGCCTTTAAAGTTTTACATACTTTTCAAAAATTTTAGCTTTGGCTGTAACTTTTCACATTTTTTAGACAAGACAGGACATACAAGACAGTCACAGTGTGCCATAGATCATTGCACTTCAACCAATAAGATCCCAGAGGGGACAACAATTCTCTGATTTGTTCAATTGCAACATCTCATGTAGCAACAATAAAAAAAAAAAAGAATAAGCATATCAGGGATCTGATTTTAGTCAAAGTATTTCCTAATTTAAACAGAAAGGTTCATTTTGAGGTTGTTTGGAAAAAAAAATCTCCATATTTTGCCTAAAAAGATGTAACTTTGTTGGTCAGCTGTTCATCTCTGCAAGTATGTGCTTGTTGTGTAAGTTGTTGACCTATACTCTAGTATATTATGAGTATACATGTGTCATTGTTTCTGCTGTTCACCTCTATATTTTGAATATGTGTCATAGTTTCATCTGTTGACCTATATATTTTGAGTACTTGTGGTTGTTTCAGCTGTTGACCTATATTTTGATTAATATGTGTCATTGTTTCAGTTGTTGACCAGTAAAATTGCGACAATGGTGATGGACAGGAAAAGGCGGGGCGTGTTGATTCCATGGAGCTGCATACGAGATATTCTATATGAGTATGCACCAAAGGTGGGATATATTTAAATATTTTATTAAATTCTGCTGGACAGTATTTCAAATTGCATGCAGAAAAGATATTTTTACCATTATAAAATAAAGAAAAGAAATATTGTCATTTGTGAAATGAAGTTTTTGGGTCATGAGAGTTGCTTGAAGTAATCCCTTTAGTTTTTGAGCTTTTTAAAGTAATCCCTTACTTTGTGTTGCCTTGTGGGGATATACATTCTGTTAAGACAGTTATTGATGGTTGACATTTGATGCATTGACCAATATTCTTTCAGGAATCTGAGGATAAGACATCTTGTGCCTGTCAGAGGAGGGTCACACACTCACTGAAGAACCCCACCACAAAACAAAACCTCATGACCTACTTGTCAGAGGCCATGCAGGATCCAGTAAGGCTCCAACAGGGATATAATAAATTTTTTTTAAAATATATTATTTATCTACGTGTAGTTAAAATAGATTAAAGCATTAGAATTAAGATTGATTGTTGTGTTAAACGGCAGGTCCTCTGTTAAAATAAAGTTATTTTATTTTGTGCAATAACATGTACTTCAAATTGGTATTGGCTAGAAATTTTATAAATCAGTTTGCAAACTTCAGTGTAAGAAACTTGACCATATTAGATTTTAGCGCACCTGAGCTGAAAGCTCAAGTGAATTTTTTTAGCTCACCTGAGCTGAAAGCTCAAGTGAGCTTTTCTGATCACCCGTTGTCCGTCGTCCATCCATCCATTCGTCCGTCTGTAAACTTTTCACATTTTCAACTTCTTCTCAAGAACCACTGGGCCAATTTTAACCAAACTTGGTAAAAAGTATCCTTGGGTAAAGGGGAGCTTAAATTGTTAAAATAAAGGGCCAAGTCCCCTTACAAGGGGAGATAATCAAGAAAAGACAAAAATAGGGTGGGGTCATTAAAAAACTTCTTCTCAAGAACCACTGGGCCAGAAAAGATGAAATTTATGTGGAAGCATCCTAGGATGGTGTAGACTCTAAATTGTTCAAATCATGACCCCGGGGTAGGGCAGGGTTCACAATAGGGAATCCAAGTTTTACATTGAAATATGTCAGAAAAATCTTTAAAAATCTTCTCAAGAACCACTAGGCCAAAAAAGCTGAAACTTATGTGGAAGCATCCTGGGGTAGTGTAGATGCTAAATTGTAAAAATCATGACCCCCGGGGGTAGGGCGGGGCCACAATAGGGAATCCAAATTTTACATTGAAATATGTAAGAAAAATCTTTATATATCTTCTTCTCAAGAACCACTGGGCCAGAAAAACTGAAACTTATGTGGAAGCATCCTGGCGTAGTGTAGATGCAAAATTGTAAAAATCATGACCCCCGGGGGTAGGGCGGGGCCACAATAAGTATTACAAGGGGGAAATCTGATAAAGAACAGCATGGCCAAAGTTACTCAGGTGAGCGATGTGGCCCATGGGCCTCTTGTTTTATCAGCCATTGTCTGGCGTCTGTTTGTCCTGTAAACTTTTCACATTTTTGACTTCTTCTCAATTACCACAGGGCCAATTTTAGTCGAAGTTGGTACAAAGCATGATTGGGTAAAGGGGATTGTAAATTGTTCAAATGAAGGGCAGGGGAGATAACAAGAAAAGGGAAAAATAGGGTGGGGTCATTAAAATATCATCTCAAGAACCACTGGGTCAGGAAAGATAAAATTTCTTTGAAAAAAATTTATAAGGAAGGGAATTTTTACCAGATTTTTGAACATCTGGACCATTTGGTCAAGTGTTCTGGTCCTGGCCAGGGCTCTATTAGTTTGTATTCTACTGAGTAAATAGATTTGATAATTTATCACTGTAAATAATGTACTTGAAAGGTAAATAGAATAAGAGAATTATGCAAAAACTTTTATTGTATAATACAAAAAGTACTCTCATTGTTTTAATGATCAGATAGACTTGTAAGTAGTAGATAAATAAAAATGAGACAAAAATAACTTGTCTTATTAAATGTTCATCAAAGACCAAGAGAGGCCAATGTAAGAGATTTCAACAAGGGATTAAAATAGTACAGAAACATTGATAATTTGTTAATATACCTTATGGTGATAGTGATAAATGGGGAACAGATTAGAACCTAATTCATAAACTGTTAATGAATATTAAGACCAATTATTTTGTTTATCATGATCACCCTATTTTTTTATCTTTTGGGCAACAAAGCTTCACTTTTCAGTTCATATTATACTCTATGCATCCTTTCAATTATTTTATCATACTCAGGTGACCGTTAAGGCCCTTGGGCCTCTTGTTATTAAAATTATGGACTCCAAGTTAGAGTTGGTTAAAATCAAGGTCAATTTAACATAATGCATGTATATAAGAAAAGAATTTTCTTTTCAATAACTTCAAGACCAGGTAAGTCATATTGCTATTGAAGCATCCCCATGTTGTGTGGATTCAGAGATAAAAAAAAATCTTTTTAAAAAATCTGAAGAACAGCAGTGTTTTAGTTACTCAGGTGAGTGTTATAGCCCATGGGCCTCTCGTTTGACAATTTCTACAGATAATCAATTAAAATATTAAAAAAAAAATTACAAAATTTTGAATAAGTTGGGGGGCATGTGTGTGATATGACCCTCATTGTACTTGTTAAAACACATAGCCATTTAGTAACAAATCACTTGATATTTTCAGTTTGTAAAGAAGTTCTCAGAGAAACAATATCTGCAGGCATCAGAGCACGCTATAAAGGAATTCCATGATCTAGCCAGCTACCTCATCAAGAAGTTTTCGTATGTATAACTCTTCATTTCCAGTAACTCATGATTTAAGCAATCATAGACTACCATGAAGGGAGTGGAGATAGCTTTGTGGCATCTAATTATACTAGATAGATAGATATATATATATATATATATATATATATATATATATATATATATATATATATATATATATATATATATATATATATATATACATGTATATATTTCCAACTGTTGCTTACTTTGTTGTGCAATTGACAAAATCCAATCTTTTTGTCCAATTTTTAGCTCACCTCAACGAAGTCGAGATGAGCTTATGCTATACCGTCGGCGTCGGTGTCCCAGGTTAAAGTTTTAGGAGCAAGTCCCATTCCCAAGTAACTATAAGCCCTACCTGGACCAAACTTGCATGGATGATGCATCTAGGGATGGACACTACCAAACTTGCTTCGGATGCTGGATCTGACCTAGATTTTCCAGATGAGTGACCAGGTTGAAGTTTTAGGAGCAGGTCCATTCCTAAGTAACTATAAGCCCTACCTGGATTAAAATTGCATGGATGATGCATCTAGGGATGGACACTACCACACTTGCTTCGGATGCTGGATCTGACCTAGATTTTCCGGATGAGTGACCAGGTTAAAGTTTTAGGAGCAGGTCCATTCCCAAGTAACTATAAGCCCTACCTGGACCAAACTTGCATGGATGATGCATCTAGGGATGGACACTACCACACATGCTTCGGATGCTGGATCTGACCTAGATTTTCCAGATGAGTGACCAGGTTAAAGTTTTAGGAGCAGGTCCATTCCCAAGTAACTATAAGCCCTACCTGGACCAAACTTGCATGGATGATGCATGTAGGGATGGACACTACCACACTTGCTTGGATGCTGGATCTGACCTAGATTTTCCAGATGAGTGACCAGGTTAAAGTTTTAGGAGCAGGTCCATTCCCAAGTAACTATAAGCCCTACCTGGACCAAACTTGCATGGATGATGCATCTAGGGATGGACACTACCAAACTTGCTTCGGATGCTGGATCTGACCTAGATTTTCCAGATGAGTGACCAGGTTAAAGTTTTAGGAGCAGGTCCATTCCTAAGTAACTATAAGCCCTACCTGGATTAAAATTGCATGGATGATGCATCTAGGGATGGACACTACCACACTTGTTTCGGATGCTGGATCTGACCTAGATTTTCCAGATGAGTGACTAGGTTAAAGTTTTAGGAGCAGGTCCATTCTCAAGTAACTATAAGCCCTACCTGGACCAAACTTGCATGGATGATGCATCTAGGGATGGACACTACCACACATGCTTCGGATGCTGGATCTGACCTAGATTTTCCAGATGAGTGACCGAATTAAAGTTTTAGGAGCAGGTCCATTCCTAAGTAACTATAAGCCCTACCTTGATCAAACTTGCATGGATGATGCATCTAGGGATGGACACTACCACACATGCTTCGAATGCTGGATCTGACCTACATTTTCCACATGTGAGACCAGGTATAGATTTAGGAGTAGTCCCATTCCCAAGTAACTATAAGCCCTACCTCGACCAAACTTTCATGGATGATGCATCTAGGGATGTACACTAACCAACCTGCTTCGAATGCTGGATCTGACCTAGATTTTCCACATGAGTGAATTTTAGCCATATTTTAACCAAATTAGCATGGATGTTGTATCTAGGTATGGACACTTCCAGACTTGCTTTGGATTCTGAATCTGACATACATTTTCCAGATTAGTGACCAGGGTAATTTTTTTTGAGTAGCTATATAATATAATGGCCTTTTATGATTAAACTTGCATAGATGGTGCATCTAAGGATGAAAACTTCCAGACTTGCTTTGGATGTTGGAACTGACCAAAATTTTCTTGATTACTAAACAGGTCAAAAGTTTTTTGAGCAGGTCTATAATTAAATCAAACCTGCATGGATATTGATCTTGGGATGTACCCTAACTAGATAAAAAATATGATGTGAAATTTGCCTTACATGTAGATAACATTCATCGAGGTGAGCTTCGTAATCTTTGATTACCTATGTTTTTGTTTTGATGATGCTTTGCACCTTTGTGTTATTTGTATATGATTTCTTTATTTTTCTGCAGAAATGTGAAGCTGAATAAAACATATATGCCTGACTCACTGTCGCAGGTGAATGATTATGACATTACCTGTGTTACACAGTATACAATGAGAAAAATTCCTATCTTAGAAGAACCAGACAGCAGGGCCAAAATTCTGGAGTATATCCTTAAGGATATTATACATGTAAATAATTATATAGACATATACTTAAACCCAATACCCATCTCACTTAATATGTACTGGGCAATTATCTCCAAAAATTAAGCATCAATGCTACCTGTCTTTAATAAAATTACAGAATCAAAACTGAATTTTAGTATCTGAAGAGTGATAAATACAGAGAAAACAGTCTAATCTAACACCTGTACAGTCTGTTTCAATGTGATTTCTGACACTTATTTTAATATCCATCTTACTGTTTTTATACGCCTGTCTTAAGACGGGACGTATTATGTTATAGCCTTCATGTCCGTCCGTCCGTCTGTTAGCTTTTTCGTGTCCGGCTCATAACTTTAACCCTTGTCCTGCAGGTCGTCGATAAAGCGGCGACCCGCTAAAACAGCTATCGCTGCCAGTCGTCGATATAGTGCACTGCGCCATGTTTTTCATTCAGTGCCGGTCGTCACTATTTCGACTTAAGACATGTGACGTTTTCTAGCTAAAATAACCAATGAAATAATGGGAATCCCTTCAGTGCGAGCCTAAATATTAAAAATAGAATAGTTTACCTTCACTTCTTTGTTTTCATTGGCTGGTTTTAGGGAAATACTTTCATAAAAATAATACTTGTAAACCGAAACCGCGTCGTTTGTAAATGTTGTTGATTCAAAATGGAGGTTGTCGAAGATGTGCTAGATGGACGATGATTCAGATGAGGAATTTTTAGGATTTAATCCAGAAGATCTTGAAAATGACGAAGGCACGGCTGATTTTGAGGAGGACTTCATACAAGGAAACATGGACGTTCGTAACTTACAGTTTCGTGGTGAAAAGAAAATCAACATAGAGATTGATGAACATGCAGAAATGGTGGATTTCTTTAAACTGTATGTAACAAATGACTTTATTGATGATATTCTTGTGACAGAAACGAATAAATATGCTCAGGACTTCCTAAATTCTGCGCAAGGCCAAAACCTCAAACCTCAGTCTAGATTTCACAAATGGTCAGACGTCACTAAGGACGACATGAAGAGGTTTATAGCAATGGTTATTGCTATGGGACTAGTCCAGCATCACGATATCCAGGACTACTGGAGCAAGGACGAAATGTTAGAGACCCCTTTCTTTGGGAAAACGATGCCCAGAAACAAATTCCTTCTGATATTGTCTTTGTTTCATTTAAACAACAATGAAAATCAGATACCCCAGGGACAGGATGGATACGATCCGATATTTAAAATCAGAAGGGTCTATGAACACTTCAGGACAAAGTTCAGCGAGTTATATTCCCCTGGAGAAAATACAGCCATTGATGAAGGTATGATAGCTTGGAGAGGGCACCTTTCATTCCGGGTGTACATGCCAGACAAACCAGACAAGTTTGGTGTCAAACTTTTCATGCTGTGCGACTCAAGCAATGGATATTGCTCGCAGCTCGAGCTTTACCACGGAACGTCTGAGAATCCATTGGAGAAGGGGAAGATTTATGACTTGGTGATGAGACTGATTAATCCATACCTTGGTATAGGTCACAAGTTGTATGTTGATAACTATTACACATCACCAATTCTATTTCATGACTTGCACCAGCGAAGGACAGGGGCATGTGGAACGTTACGTACCAACAGAAGAGGCGTTCCCGCAGATCTGAAAACCATAAAGCTGAAAAAAGGAGAAAGTGTGGCAATGACAAATGGAACCCTTCAGCTCTTGAAATGGAAAGACAAAAGGGACTTTCATATGTGTACCACAATACATGATGCCTCATTTGTTGATGTACCTGGACAAGTAAACCGCACAACAGGAGAACCAATTCGAAGACCAGCATGCATCATAGCATATGACAAACACATGGGAGCAGTTGATCGCTGTGACCAGATGATCACTTACCCTGCCTTTAAACGTAGGACGCTGAAATGGTGGGAAAAAAGTCTTCTTCCATCTCCTAATGATGGCCACCCTGAATGCCTACCTTTTGTACAAGGAACATTGTGCAAAATGGAGGAAAAAACCAGTTTTGCACAGGGTTTTCCAGAGGGAAATTGTGAAGGCTCTTATTGGTGAGACAAGCCCTCAACCTATTACAGTAAGGGGAGCTGTAAATCCAAGAGACATGGAACGGCTGACTGGGCGCCACTTCCTTTCCAAGATCAAACAGAAGGAAGGTAACAAGTCTAAGCCTCTGAGGACATGTCCAGTGTGCTCTACCACAACTGGAAAAGGAAATCTGTTGGAGATGGTCGCAAAACTGTATGGTCATCCTATGAATGCAAGATTTGTGATGTGGGACTATGCGTAGATCCTTGTTTTGAACTGTACCATTCCTATAAGGACTTCAAACAAGCCTACCAAAGACGTCAGGACCAAAATGTGGAGTCTGATGATTCAGATTAACTATGAATGAATGTGATGAAAAGCAGTGATAAGAATTTAATTGTTTGAATAAAAGTACTTGCTTAAATGATGTAAATATTAATGCTTAACATTCAGGACAAAAGTAAAACAAAATGAGTGTTGAGTGCTGTGGAGATCTTTGTTTACTTGAATGTTTTTGGACATTTATATACTTTATTATGTGGTAAGATTTTGGAAATATCAGCATGTTTAATAAAAGAATGAATTTCTGTACAAAAACTAAAGCTTATTCAGTCAGAATTAATTAATTAATGGCAATAATTACTGAAATACAATTATTTTTGCAAATTTTGTGACTTTTATCCTTTGTAACTTTTGATTGAAATAATATATCAGAGTTTTTTCTTCACAGTATTTTTCTTTGTTTCTTCCTAAATAAAAGCTGCACAGATTGTTATTAGCAAAAATGATAAGAAAACGGTGTAAATTACAATTATCTACAGCTAGTGTAATTTGATAAAAGATTACAAATCAGCCTGGCACAGTCAGCGGTTGGAGCTCATTATCAGCTCGGCAGCCACAGATGCTGTTATCTATAGCATCCCTGGCAGGACAAGGGTTAATACTATTAGGCCTAGAATTATCAAACTTTGTCAGCTGATATGTCTTGGGAAGAAGGTGTGTCGTGCATTAAAAGTAGGTCGCTCTGACCTTTAATTAAGATGCTATGGCCAAATATGGAAAAATCCTGTCCGGCTCATAACTAGAAAACTATTAGACTTCGAATCATCAAACTTGGCCAAAATATGCATCTTAGGTAGAAGGTGTGTCACGACCTATTTCAAGGTCACTGTGACCTTTAATTTAGTGAATTTTTTTTTTAAAAAACTGTGTCTCTATACTATTAAATTACACAATCCCCAAAAATGTAAGAATGTTGCAGTATCCTTATTAAAAAATGTTAAATCAAGAAAATACTTATATTTTTTCATTATATACTTTACAGCTATCTATAACAAATGTAATGTTATAAGAGAAATTCCACCTCTCCCATGGGTGTAATCATCAAGCACTGGTCAAGGAGAATTTTGATAACAGAAAATTACATGTCAAATTAGAGAGAAATTAATGAGTTTAGTGTGAAGATTTAACTAGTAGAGCATCTCTGATCAAGCAGGTGTTACATGTATCTATATCTCCTGGGGATTGGGGAAAGGAATCAGTGTTGGATTAAAGGAATAAATGAATCTATTTGGCTAGCCTTTTATCTTTTAAAATGAAAATGGTGAAAAGTAATTAAAACTAACTTGATATTGTATAATATAATTAAAACTAATTATACCGGGGAGGGGGGGGGGGGGATATTGGAATCAGCATGTCGGTTTTCTGTTTGTCAATAGGAACTGCAGCTTAAAACCAGTCTGACATTAAATCTCAAAAAAAATCATCAAGTATTTTTAAAAAAAATGTTTTATGGTAGATAGATCCTACAAATTCTAAGAGTCATGCAGTAACCTTATTAAAAATATTGCATCAAGATTACACAAGTTTTTGTTTCTTTTTATATAATTCTTTGTAACAAATTAAAATAAAATCTCTGTTTTCAACAGAATGACATAAATATGCATTTTTATTACAATACAGACTATTAAAGCAGATAGTGCAGATCCATTCATCCCTTGAGAGTAATAAATAGACATGCATCCAATTAAAGATTATAATTAATCAGTTCAATGCATAGGAAGGCTAGCTGTCTCAATCATTTCTGTTAGAGCATCTCTGATCAAGCAGCTCTTATCTGTATCCTTTGGGAATTAAACAGAAAAACTGCTTGTCAGTTTATAGCATATGTCATTTGATGGCCAGCCTTTTATTTTCAAAATTAATTTGGTATAGATTAAATTGTTAAGACTATTTTGATATTGTTTAATATGATATTTTTATTTAATTTTTTGAAAAAGAAAGATGGGGAGGGGGGGAAGGGGAGAGGGAGGGGGCTGCAGATGGGCATTTGTCTAGGTCTAACACAACCAGTTGAAAAATTTATTATAATTAGTGCCTGCACTACAGGAAATGTATAAACATCAAATATTATAAGGAATGGAAAAAGCATGGAAATCTTTGAATTAAGGTTGACATGATTTTCTTGCACCCTAAACTGTGTAATATATGATAATTGAACAATATTTGACGGGCGTATCATGCTGTGGCGGGGCACTTTATTTGTATGTTCTTTACACTGTTCGTTCTGACACCCTGTCTATTCCAACAAAAAACTTGCTTCCCAGAGCATTTTGGAATAGACAGGTTTCACTGTGTATATATTTATTATATACCCAACTGTTTGTCACTCAGTTTTACTGTTGAATTTATGCAATCATGTGACGGTATGATCCGACGTTCCGGATCACCACACTGTGGTTTTCTGAATCCATATCACTCCTCTCTGAAAGTGATGACGTAGTACACAGATAAATGGGGTTTTTATTCGCGCGCATCAAAAAGTTCCTTGACGAAATGATTTGTTAAATAGATAAAAGTTACGTAATTGATCCAAAAAGTTTCCTTTTATTATATTTTGCTTGTAAAGGGGTATATAATAAATTTATCATTATAACGGTAAACTAGATTTCATTATAACAGTAACGTTGACAGGCACGGATCATCAGATCAAACTCGACGCTTCGCGTCTCGTTTGATCTGATGATCCGCACCTGTCAACTTGACGTGATACGACTCTTCGGATTAAGTTACTGTTATAATAATAATATATATGTATTACCCAGTAAGACTCTTTCGTCTCATAGCCATCAAAGAATTTTTTGACCAGAGAGTGTGTCATGACTTTTATCCATGATCATTTGGAAAACGATTAAAAGTCATACACATGAAGTTATTGAAAATAAAGATTATGGAAATTGTTTTTCTAAAAAAAAGAATTAAAAAAAAATAGAATCAAAATATATATGTGTTTATGATTCTAATCATTCTATTTTCTCCTCTAACAGAGTTTTGTGTCAAGTGCTGGAGACAAACAGGGACGGAGTCACCAGATGTTTAGACTTCTCAATCAGTACCCAGACGCTATCTTGGATGTTGCCTTACAGAAACTTAGGACAGATGGTGTCATTGTCAAAAATAAGGTCAGTAGGTCATATAAACAGTGCCATACAGAAACTAGGGCAGATGGTGTCATTGTCAAAAATAAGGTCAGTAGGTCAGTAGACAGCGCCATACAGAAACTAAGGGTGGATGGTGTCATTGTAAAAAATAAGGTCAGTAGGTCAGAATGACAATGCCATACAGAAACTAAGGGTGGATAGTGTTATTGTCAAAAATTAGGTCAGTAGGTCAGATAGAAAGTGCTATACAGAAACTAAGAATGGATGGTGTCATTGTCAAAAAATAAGGTCAGTAGGTCACACAGAAAGCACCATAAAGAAACAAAGGATGGATGGTGTCATTGTCAAACATAAGGTCAGTAGGTCACATAGACAGTGCCATACAGAAACTAAGGGAGGATAGTGTTTTGTCAAAAATAAGGGCAGTAGGTCACATAGACAGTGCCATACAGAAACTAAGGGTGGATAGTGTCTTTGTCAAAAATTAGGTCAGTAGGTCACATACAGATTGCTTTACAGAAACTAAGGGTGGATGGTGTCATTGTCAAAAAATAAGGTCAGTAGGTCACATAGACAGGGTCATGCATACAGAAACTAAGGGTGGATCATTCTCAAAATAAGGTAAGATGTTCACATAGACAGTGCCAAACATAAAATTTAGCTCAAGTAGACAATGCCATACAGAAATTAAAGATGGTTTGTGTCATTGTCAAAGATAAGGTCAGTGAATCACAGAGAGATTAGTAGGTCACTTTCATTATCTAGATGTAATTGCACAAACACTATTTGTTGTTGAGTTTCAATTTTTCTTGTTTCATGGCATGAAGAGACTTTTGAATTTATGGCCTCCACAAATTGTTAAAACTTCAAACAATTGTATCTTAAGAAACGCTGCACATCTCCATGACCAAGAAATCAAATCCTCATGAACCAATATATTTTTTTGTCAGACCACAAAAGTTTGACCCAATAAGAATAACTGAACTTTAGCATAAGTAAATAACATATGTATACACCCACGCAGTATTGCAGGCATGCAATGCAGTTCAGAATCATATTGTAGACTAAAAGTTCTGATAGAACATAGAAATTTTACTAGGGGTCTTCCATACATTCAGTATTATAATAGTCATTGGTTAGGGAGAGGTCTATTAAAATTTCTATGTTCTAGGTTATCAATGCAGCAGTGTTTGACCTGATGCAGCGGTGCCTGAGAAACTATTTATTAATTTTTTTTTGTCCTAATAGGGGTCTTCCATACATTCAATATTATAAGAGTCATTGGTTAGGGAGAGGTCTAAAATAGGCTGTACCTGCTGCCCAGTCCAATCCACTTTTGTGAATAAATTTTGTTTAAATTAAAATTCAATGGTTTATTCTTTTATTAGTGCCCTTCAAACTTCATAGAAAGTGCTTAGTAGAATTAATATAAGGTGACCTGATTTCAGTAGCAACCTCTATAAATGTCACATCAGTATACATTGTGCTTTGATGTATGTTGTATACTAAAATGCTAAATATAGTCTTACACACAAAAGAAAGGTTTTAAAATGAAAGAATGCAAATCAAATTGATATGTAGTTATTGCTTTACATGTAGATTCAAGATGTTATTCAGACATGAAGAACAGAAGCAGGTATTGATGGTATTGATTTGGCCCCAAAAATTGTAGATCTTTCCAAAAAGACATTAAATTCATGTTTGGTAGTTGAATTATAGCAGCAATCATCAGTTTTTGTGTTGTAATATCTGACTGTGTGGGTTGTGAGGGATATGATAAATGTTTATAGAATGACCAGAATTGAAGTAAATCAAGAAATATTTATGATAATTTATTTTATTTTTTTTTAGTTGAAAAATATGCTTTGAGCAAATAAGATGTTCGTAACATTAAATTATCACTATATTACATATATCAGATATTGGTTGAGTGGTGCTTAAAGCATGTATATTTTAAGACCAAGTAAAGTGTTTCCATTGCCTTTTTTTTTTAAATGCTACAAATTAGTCAAATTTTGACATCATACACAAACAATAGTTCCAGAAGATATTTAAGTTTATTTGCACTTGAACAAGATACAGTTTAACAACTTGTAGAGTAGTCAAGAGCTGTAAGGGAGCTATATTGCAAACCTTTTCCTTGTAAATGTTCTTTATTTCAGATATTTTTGTTGTGTTTTTCAGAGGAGGGAAAACCCCAAAGTAATGGAAACCGGAATAAAGAACATCAAGTTATCACAAAGGTATAGGATCATTATTATAAAGATTGGCTTAAGGATAAATAACACAAACAAACTTTTCAGAAATCAGCAATATTTCTCATAGATTTATATTCAAATATGTAACCTGAATGATGTTTACCAGGTAAAGTGGGAGCACTTTGTAAGATTTTGTCACAATGTTAAAAATATGTGCAAAATTTTGTATAGAATTATATAGAAAACATTTAATAAAGTCGCATATTTAAGCACCAAAGAAAACTTACGATTTCTTTATATTTTAGGAATTTATTATTTGTCATTTCTATTCATAACCAGTCAAAAAATATATATATATATCCAGGCATCAAATTTTTGTTTGTGTTATGTATCCTTAAACAAATATCACAAATGTATCTGATTATCATTATCCAGATCATTTATTGACCTTTGATTGGCTCCGACAGCTATCAGAGGTATAGATTATCTTATCCAGATCATTTATTGACCTTTGATTGGCTCCGACAGCTATCAGAGGTATAGATTATCTTATCCAGATCATTTATTGACCTTTGATTGGCTCCGACAGCTATCAGAGGTATAGATTATCTTATCCAGATCATTTATTGACCTTTGATTGGCTCTGACAGCTATCAGAGGTATAGATTATCTTATCCAGATCATTTATTGACCTTTGATTGGCTCCGACAGCTATCAGAGGTATAGATTATCTTATCCAGATCATTTATTGACCTTTGATTGGCTCTGACAGCTATCAGAGGTATAAGATTATCTTATCCAGATCATTTATTGACCTTTGATTGGTCTGACAGCTATCAGAGGTATAGATTATCTTATCCAGATCATTTAATATGGACCTTTGATTGGCTCCAACAGCTATCAGAGGTCTAGATTATCTTATCCAGATCATTTATTGACCTTTGATTGGCTCTGACAGCTATCAGAGGTATAGATTATCTTATCCAGATCATTTATTGACCTTTGATTGGTCTGACAGCTATCAGAGGTATAGGTTTATCTTATCCAGATCATTTAATATGGACCTTTGATTGGCTCCAACAGCTGTCAGAGGTATAAGATTATCTTATCCAGATCATGTATTGACCTTTGATTGGCTCTGATGGCTATCAGAGATGTAGAATTATCATTATCTGGAACTGATTGTCCAAGTTAACTACACAAAGGAATATTGTCATAGAATATTGTAGAGTATGACCTACAGATGTGGCATCTTAATTTGGGCCTTAAAAATTTTGTATTAGATCCTATAATTTGAATCTTAAATTAGACAAAAGGTAGTATTTCTACCAACTTTATTGTTTGTAGTTTTTCTGGTTTAAGGATGTGTCCCTTGGCACCAAAAATTCAAATATGATTAAATTTTGAAATGTTAGTGATCTTGTCATTGTAACTTCGTACCAATTGATTGAAATAAATGGAGTTTTCTGTATGTAACTGACCTTATTTGAGATGTATGTTCTTCTTTCATCATTATGTCATCAAGCTTTTGAGGTGGCCATCCTAAGGATATGAGATCTGGTGCCTTCAGAAATCACAAAAGATATTGTATTTCAGTGAATAAATTTGAACAACAATTTGTCATATTCTCACAATGCCTGTAAAGCATTTTACATGTAACATGTGTTGTACAATCTTCTGCTAAGAATTTTAAATGCTGTAATGGAGAGCTGTTGCCAGTAATTCAATTCCTGTGTTGTTTGGAAACTGCACAATTACATTCTAAAGGTTAAATGAACACTGTATAATCTTTTTTGTAGATATTCCTTCCGATTTCATTCTCGTTATCCCACGTCCTTGTTTACCAACTGTTTTGCAACCATCAAGGAACTCATGAGGTCAGATGAGGGCAAGTTCAACACCATAGAGGTCAAGGACAAAGTCAATGGAGGATTGTGTGCAACCATTATAGAACTTATTCTTAATAGGCGGGTAAGGCTCATAGTTACATGTGATTATTTAGAATCAGATAAAGTTCTGAAGCATAAATCAAAACAGGCTAGAGTGATCATGGTTGAGTGTGTGTGTTTGAAGGAAAGCTCAGTTGAGAATGCACCTGTATAGTTCATGGAAGGTCCGAAGTGCGTGTTGTCCCCCTGTCGAAACTTTTCCTATGCATTCATGCATTGTTAATCTGAATTAAATTGGTCATTTACATATTGTTGATATAACTAAAAGTTATTTCTGATGGATCTTCAATTTTTGAAGTAAATATTTTCAGAAAGGGGACCTCAGGACTCCTGGTCAAAGGGTGCTTCTTATAGATACCCCTCTGTAGAGGACCATTACCCCCTCTCTGTTTTTGATGTTTCTTTTGAAGTGAAGTCTTAAAAGTGAGAAGTTCCTGTTACTTCTTAGATTTGTAATCTGAAAGCATTATGAGGTCAAAGGTCAGTTACAAACAGAAACAAGATGTATTTGTGAAACACTGATGTCCCCGTATGGCAACTTACAGTGAAAGTTAAACCTTCTCAAATCAAATTAAATATGTTGGTACCCAAAGTAAGGTCTTGTCTCGAAGAATATACCTGTGAAATATGAAAGCCATAGCAGCAATTATTAAAAAGATATGGAAAAGGTTAAAGTTTTTCGAAAGTAAGTCAAACATCAAGGTCATAGTCAAATGGTCAAAATTAATGGTGCCCAACAAAAGGCCTTCTCACAAGAAATACATATGTCAAATATGAAAGCCCTAGCACAACCATTCAAAAGATATGGTCAAGGTTAAAGTTTTTCAAAAGTAGATCAAACTCCGAGGTCAAAAGGTCAAAGTTGTTTGTATCCAAAGTAAGTTCTTGTTACAAGGATTACGTATGTGAAGTGTGAAAGCCCTAGTACCAATTGTTCAAAAGTAATGCCTAAGGTTATAGTTTTTCAAAAGTAGGTCAACCCCCAGGTCAAAGGGTCAAATTTGTTGGTATCCAAAGTAAGGTCTTGTCACAAGAATTACATATATGAAGCATGAAAGCCCTAGCACCAACTGTTCAAAAGTTATGGCCAAGGTTAAAGTTGGGTAAAATTTTGCAAAACTGGGTCAAACTCCAAGGTCAAGGTCAAATATGATGGTATCCAAAGAAAGGTCTTGTCACAAGAAAAACACATCTGAAATATGAAAGCCATAGCTCCAACCAATCAAAAGTTATGGGCAAGGTTAAAGTTTTTGTGGACAAACACAGACAGAAAGACAAACAGAAAGGATAAAAACTATATGCCCCGAATCTTCGATTACGGGGGCATAAAAAGGTGTTTAAGGAAGTCTGCTTCAAGGTCATTGATAACTTTACTGAGATGGAGGTCTAAACATTTATGTAGAACTCATATACTTTTTAATAAAAGTTTGATGCTGTTGTAGCATAAAGCAAGAAGATATATCAGAATATTAAGATTGTTTGATTCAACAAGGACAATGAAATTGTTCATGTCTAATTGGGCAACACTCAAGTGCATTATCTTAAGAAATGCAATTTGAAGAATTGAAATGAGGAAATATTTTATAACTTGCATGTTCTCACTTTAGACTAGGAAATTTATGGTTTTAATGAAGTTAAATAAAGAAGTTACTAAAGTCTCTCGTGTAAAAATGTATGGTTTATTATAGGGATGGCAATCGATTACAGAAATGCTAATCTGTTAACTGCAAGACACTCTGACTGATTAATCAGTTAATCGTATCAAAATACGCATGTTTGGCCTCTTTTTTTTCAATTCATATACACAAGAAAACTAAAAAGATGCCAGAAGTTAGAAATATTCTGTTTATTATATTGATCACGACACTATATGTATGTTTTATTTTGATTTCAATAGACAAGAAAAATATATAAGAAAACCATGAATAATGCCTGAGAAATATCAAACATGGAAAATATTCCAGAGCAGATGTCACACAGATTCATTCAAATTCTGCAATGTCACCATAATCAAATCTATACCTGAACTTTAACTTAAAATGTAATACAATGTTTTTCTAACAATATAATTTAAAATATAAAAGATACTAGACAATTTAACATGTTGGTGGATGGTATTCATTTGGTTGAAACACCAGTAAAATGTAATAAATCAGAATGGTTTCATGTTTTCTGAAAACACCCTGTGCTAATTCACAGTGCTCAATGATGATTTATTTAATATCATTAAAGACTTGTAGGATAGTCGGGGTAACAGCATGTTTTTAAAAGCAGCAATTAACACTTTACTAACTGATCAATTACCCAGCCATCTGAATCCGGGGAGCCATAATTACCTTAAATAAGCTTAAATAGATGTTTAAAAAATGTTAAATTATCAACTTCTATGGAGAGGTTTCCTTTCTAAAAATGAATTTTAAGAAAATTGCCTTCAAACTTACAAATATTTAATTTTTTCTGACTAACTGATTGCAGATTTTCTAACGGATTACCATCGTTCTGACCAAGTAATCGGTTACAAATTGTCATTCCTAGTTTATTATAAAACCCCCCACCCCCACTTCAAAAGCGGGGGGGGGGGGGGGGGGGGGGTATAATGATGGGTTGTCCATCTGTCTGTCCATCCATAACACCTTGGGGTACCCATCTCTTATCCGCAATTCCTCTTATACCACTGAATAAAATTTGATGAGACTTTCACAGAATCAGACTATCTTTGTTACATAGTGCCATTGTGATCCCTTATTTTACTTTTTGATTGGACACATATTTCAGGTTTCCAAAACATAGACACTGCCATTCTTTCTATAATATTGAGGGGTACTCATTTCTTATCCACAACTCCTCTTTTACCACTGAATAAAATTAAAATTTAATGATACTTTCACAGAATTTTTATTACATAGTGTCATTGTGCATCTCTCATTTTACTTTTTGATCGGAGACTTATTTCAGGTCTCCCATAGCAAAATATGAACTTTGCCATTATAATCATATGGAAGGCAGGGGTATCATTTTGTGAGCTCAGTGCTCACAGTACCTCTAGTTTTATTTCATTAACAGCTCACCATTGATATGGAGATACCATCTGATATAGTAATATTGGACCCACAATTCAAAGAAGGTCGAGGCTATAACCAACAAATGTCAGCAATGGCCAAGAGACCTCGACTACAGGAAGTTCTGGACTCGGATGATGAGGATTACCCTCTTGACCTGGGTAAGTTGTTCAGGACTACTCTCCTTACCCTAGTCAGTTTAAGACATTGTTAAGGACTATGATCTTGACCTGGGTAAGTTTTATACACTGTTGAGGACTATTCTCTTAACCTGAGTAAGATTTATACACTGTTTAGGACTATTCTCTTGACCTGGGCAATTAAAAGACATTCTTTATGGCTATTATTCTCTTGACCTGGAAAGTATGACACTGTTTAGAACTATTCTCTTGACCTGGGCAAGTATAAGACCTTGTTTAGAACTATTATTCTCTTGACCTAGGCAAGTGTAACACTGATTATGGCTATTATTCTCTTGACATGGACAAGTATTAAACATTGTTTAGGAGTATTTTCTTGAATTGGGTAAGTTTTACACTTTATTTAGGGATGTTTTTGTGTAAATAATTTTTCAAAGCTATTTGCTCTGATCTCAATAAAACTTCGTATCCAAGAAGACTATACCAAATTCTGAAATTCTCTCAAGTTTTGATTTTGATTTAAGATGTTGCATGAGCTTTAATTTCCCTTTCTATGGTTTTGGTCTAATTTTAATATCTCAGTGCTTTGTGACTTCGACCTTTAAAATTTAATCAAGGGCAAAAAAATATTTAAATTTCAGTATAGTCTTAATAATTGAGTATTCAAGATTTTGAATCTTTATTGCCATATACTTTGTAGTATTCAGACAAAATAATTCATGCAAATGATTATATGATTAATTGCTGAGTTTCTGTTGTTGAAAAATGACAACTTTTTGTTGATTAATCTTTAGTATGGATTGAACTTCTTTCATGACAGATCAGAAAGAAGCTCGACCTAGTGTCTTAGGGCTGGAGTCACCATGGGAACTAGTGAGGCAATTTGATGGTCCAGCTTTTGTTTATGATGAAGATGGAAAAACCATAAAGGAATATTCTGTTGGAAGCCAAAGTACCATTCGGTTTCAGAAAGATGACAATCTGGAAGAAAGCAAGAAAGGGAAAGAAAAGTCTAAGGTGAACATTCTGTGTGCCTCCCGAGCTCTGGTTACAATGAGGAGGTCTCGAGCGGAACAGGATCAAGATTTCAAATATTATGTAGTGCAGGATAACTTCCTGATTCAAGCTTGCGGGATTAAGCTGGGAGTTTGTGAAGAGGATGAGGATCCAGCACAGACAAGGGGGAAAATGACAATGCTGGATATTCCCTATAACAGGGAAAAGACCAGGGAAATTATTAAACAAGTGCAGAGTTTTATTCCTTTTGAGGTTTGTTTGTGTATGGTATTGTAACAGGAAAAGAAAAAAATGTGACAGACCAGCTGGGATTCAAACCCAGGCCCCCTAGACATGTGCCCCATCAACTGATTCATTCAACCACTGGCAAGTGAACCCATCTGACTGTGTTCATTCTGTTGCATTCCTCCCTCCTCAAAGGGGCAAAGAAACCAACCCAGGTTCTTCTCTGGCAAGTCTCTCACCTTTCATTTCCTAGGCATGGCATTTTTCTTCTGCTCCTGTTACATTTAAGTGTTGTGTCATGCCCTGGAAGATGCAGGTGAGAGACCTGCCAGGAAAGAGCCTGGGTTGATGTGATGGCTCAGTTGGTGGAGCACCTGACTGGAGATTAAGGGGGCCCTAGTTTGAATCCTGGTCTGGTCCATTGCATTTTTCGCCTTTCCTTTTATAATATATGGAAAACTGGTAGCTATAAGTTTACATTGAAATTTATGTTAATTTAACACATGGAAAACACATCATATGTTTACCGGTACATTGATGTTGATGTTCAAACAATATATAGAAAACACATATTATAGTGAACACAGTTTAACATGCATTAAATTTTGTGCTAATATTCCATATCATACATTTAGATTAACAATACTTTGACATTTTAATAATAAAATACAGTTCAACTTAAATATCTTGAACACCATTATGCCATGGATATGTCAGATATATATATGTGTACTGAAACGCAAAAGAAACGCAACATCCTAAATTTAGGGGGAAAATGATATACAGGTTATAACTTTGTACTTAAAAAGTTAGGACATCTTCAACTTTGCCAAATCAGTAATTTAACGATTGAATGATTTTCATTTCATTACTTGTCTGGAAGTTGATTTTGAGCCCTTTTTACAGAAATCAAAAATTGCATGTTTAATAAAATGTTTGATAATAATTTGGGTTTTCAAGGGTATGTAGCTGTTAATAATAAGTATTGCACTAATATTCCAAAAAAAAAAAAATCCTTATTTCTTTTCCTGATGTGATGCCAATATTTCCTCAAAATGACTGAAAGCAAGCATTTTCATTACTCTTGCTGGGAATTCTCAAAATAAAGATAAAGGAGAGTTGCAGATGCAAATATGCACTACATAACAACTCAGCAGGCTCATACGTTTCATAAGCATGAACGACAGTTCATTGACCGGAAGTCCAAGGGTTACTACACTACGCCAAGTTAGAGAAAATTTGACGCTGCTATGCATAGTTTCTGCATTTTTTATTATTCAATATTCATTTAACTTTGATACTGACTCAAAATTAGTGTCTCGTCTTGTAATCTATTTCTACTTTTCACTGCGTCTCTAAATTATTATAAGACAGTCGATAATAATTATTTTAAGAGCAGGCAGGCAAAATATGATTTATTATCAATCAATTTTCACCTTGCAGTATAAGTGTCACCTGAATTAACATCCCGTTCCTCGAGTCCCGCGTCTTCTGCCTGGGGCCATTAAAATGTCCAGGTAAAGGAATTAGGTAATATGTAACTCTTGCGTACACATAGCCACTTCGAGGTATCAAGGGTAAATTTCAATAGAATATGCATAGTGGGACTGCATTTTGACTTCGAGGGATCAAGGGTTTCTTGAGTTGAGAAATCAAGAGTAAATTTGCTTAGTTATATAGGGGAAAAATTTGGGACCAGAGACTCACTTTGAATGATCAAGAACTTCAAGATATTGAAGTTCGAGCCATCAAGAGTTACCTGTATTTCATATTTTGATATGATCTATATATTTATTTCTTTCAGTTGGACATGGAGGAGGTTTGGTCTACAGTAGAACCTGAGTTAATAGATTCAGTCAAGTCTGTGTACAGTCTGATCCACTCCGCTGGTGAATTGGGAATCTGTCACTTTTATCTCAAGGTAGTGAATTCACTAGTAAATGGGTTTATTCTACTGATAAACTGAAATAAATGTTAGAAATTCTTAAAAAAAATCACAACTTCCTCTGTTGACCTTAGAGCTCCTCATTTTATTGGAATTTAGGCCAAAAAATATAAATAGTTTTTCAAGCACTGCCGCATCAGGTCATACACTGCCGCATTGATCAATTTTATTGACATATTGAAAAGCAGACCTGTTTACTCTTACGATTTCGCGGTATTTTGTACGGATTTTGAGTCCTAAATATGTCTCACGTTTTACTTTAATGAAAATACGGAAATCCGAAATCTGTTCGTTTGGATTTTAGCAGATAGTTTTCGTTATGATCTGTCTCAGTTTGACGCTTTTAAATCACTAAAAAAGAAAGATTTCAAACACTTAAGTGATGTTGGGTTGCCGAAACGCGGTGGCTTCTCTAGTATTATATGTAAAATCGATGGAAAGTAAAATCTTACGGGTAAATGTCAAATCTCACTGACAAATCTAATAAAAAATACTGAGAGAAAACAATATGGGTAAACAGGTCTGGAAAAGGAAATAACTCAATTTTCTATTTTTCGAAGTTGAAAAAGAAAATTGAGTTGTTCCCCATTTCATAAATGCTAATAGATAGATGTCTTATAAGATAAACAGTACATTTCTTGTCAATACAGTATTTTTGAATTAACTTTGTTTGGAATAACATTATTTAAAGTTAAATACACATTATAATTAATGTAAGAGAACCAAAAAGTAAGAATCAGTTGATATCATCATTTGTTGAATGACTGACATAAAAAAAAAGGTATTACACCTGCTTCCAATTAAAAAAAAAAACCTGTCTGTTGCATTGAATTTTAACATTTTTGGCCTGAGAAACTATTAATTTTTTACGGCCTCAAGGTGAAAGTAAACTATACTGTTAAACACTTATTTTCTTGGGGTCAAATTTTTGTGGTTTCAGAAAAATATTGATTTGTGAAGTTTTGATTTTGTGGATGAAGAAATGCTGAGTTGCTATATGTTTGAAAATTAACAATTCATGGAGGATTTGAATTCTTGTGTCTCATTATACCTCAAAAACAAAAAAATAAACCCACACAGAAATTAGTGATTTTTCAGTTACTCAAATATTTAAACTGCCTGATCGAGCTTTGTTTAGTTTTTAATGTGTTTGCAAATCGTTGAAAAAGCTATGACATCAATACATATCTATTAAAATATATGCATAGTCCCAAAATCTCTCCAATATATGTACAGATATATATGTATTAGTGAAATATTGAACGTTTTAAACATTTTACAGCATTTGAAATTCATTCCAAATGTACCCATGGTTACCATTTCATTTCTTTAGGTACATGTGTATATATATTCTATGTGGTTTCTTTATAACATAGGAAGTAACAAGGTGAAATGTTTTAGTGAAGTGGTTTGTTTGGTTTCTTTAATCTTTTATTAAGGCTTAATAAAAATTCAAAGTAGCTGAAAATCTTATTTTTAACTGGGTTTTGGATAGGAAAAATTCAATTATAAGTTGAAATGGTGAAAATAGCAGTCAGGTGGACGGCTACCGAAAAGGTACATCATTTGTCAGGATAACTCCTCCTAAAATTTTTAAGATAGGAACTTTTTTAGGTCACCTGAGTAAACTCAGGTGACCTATTGCTATCCGTTTTTGTCCGTCGTCGTTCGTCGGTCGTAAACTTTTGAACATTTTGGCTATATAGATCATATAGTGAAAGTGTGTTATTTCTTTGAAAATCTTCTTCTCTGCTCCTGGGTATTAAATAAAGTTACTAAGTACATAGTTATGATGAGCAAGAGTGCCTCTTCCAAAATTGTGAAATTCATGGCCCCAGGGTCAGGGGTTCTGGTGTTAGAGCGGGGAACTATTGATTATATAGTGAAAATGCATTAATTCTTTGAAAATCTTCTTCTCTGCTCCTGGGTATCAAATAAAGGAACTAAGTACATAGTTATGATAAGCAAGAGTGCCTCTTTCAAAATTGTGAAATTCATGGCCCCAGAGTCAGGGGTTCTGATGTTAGGGCGGGGCTCCATAGATTATATAGTGAAAAAGCATTCATTCTTTGAAAACCTTCTTCTTTGCTCCTGGGTATTAAATAAAGTAACTAAGTACATAGTTATGATGAGCTAAAGTGCCTTTTTAGGTCACCTGAGTCACTCAGGTGACCTATTGCTATCTGTTTTCGTCCGGCGTCGTCCGTCGTGCGTTAACTATTGAACATTTTTAGCTTCTTCTCTGAAACCACTGAACCATTTTCAACCAAATTTGGCATATAGCATCTATGGATGAAGGGGAACAAAAATTGTGAATTTCATGGTCCCTGCCCCCCTGGGGCCTGAGGGGTGGGGCTAAAACCACCAAAATTAATGCAATCCTTAAAAATCTTCTTCTTTACTCCTGGACATCAAGCAGTCAAACTGTTGGTATAATTGTAATAAGCATTGAGCCCTCTACCAAAATTGTGAAATTCATGGCCCCAGGGTCAGGGGTTCTGGCCCCAGGGTGGGGCTATATAGATCATATAGTGAAAGTGCATTATTTCTTTGAAAATCTTCTTCTCTGCTCCTGGGTATTAAATAAAGTTACTAAGTACATAGTTATGATGAGCAAGAGGGCCTCTTCCGAAATTGTGAAATTCATGGCCCCAGGGTCAGGGGTTCTGGTGTTAGGGCGGGGCTCTATAGATTATATAGTGAAAAAGCATTGATTCTTTGAAAATCTTCTTCTCTGCTTCTGGGTATTCAGTAAACTAACTAAGTACATAGTTATAATGAGCAAGAGTGCCTTTTCCAAAATTGTGAATTTCATGGCCCCAGGGTCAGGGGTTCTGGTGTTAGGGCGGGGCTCTATTGATTAAATAGTGAAAATGCATTAATTCTTTGAAAATCTTCCTCTCTGCTTCTGGGTATTAAATAAACTAACTTAGTGCATAGTTATGAAGAGCAAGAGTGCTTCTTCCAAAATTGTGAAATTCATGGCCCCAGGGTCAGGGGTTCTGGTGCTAGGGTGGGGCTAAATAGATCATATAGTGAAAGTGCATTATTTCTATGAAAATCTTCTTCTCTGCTCCTGGGTATAAAATAAACTAACTAAGTACATAGTTATGGAGAGCAAGAGTGCCTCTTCCAAAATTGTGAATTTCATGGCCCCAGGGTCAGGGATTCTGGTGTTAGGGTGGGGCTGTATTGATTATATAGTGAAAATGCATTAATTCTTTGAAAATCTTCTTCTCTGCTTCTGGGTATTAAATAGACTAACTTAGTGCATAGTTATGATGAGCAAGAGCGCCTTTTCCAAAATTGTGAAATTCATGGCCCCAGGGTCAGGGGTTCTGGTGTTAGGGCAGGGCTCTATTAATTATATAGTGAAAATGCATTAATTCTTTGAAAATCTTCTTCTCTGCTCCTGGGTATTCAATAAACTAAGTACATAGTTATGGAGAGCAAGAGTGCCTCTTCCAAAATTGTGAAATTCATGGCCCCAGGGTCAGGGGTTCTGGTGTTAGGGCAGGGCTCTATTAATTATATAGTGAAAATGCATTGATTCTTTGAAAATCTTCTTCTCTGCTTCTGGGTATTCAATAAACTAAGTACATAGTTATGGAGAGCAAGAGTGCCTCTTCCAAAATTGTGAAATTCATGGCCCCAGGGTCAGGGGTTCTGGTGTTAGGGCAGGGCCCTATTAATCATATAGTGAAAGTACATTAATTCACTGAAAATTTTCTCTGCTCCTGGGTATTTTAAAAACTAACTAAGAACTTATTTATGGTGAGCATGGCTGTCTTTCAGAAATTGTGAATTTCATGGCCCCTGGGTCAGGGGTTCTGGTGTTAGGGCGGGGCTCTATTAATTATATAGTGAAAATACATTAATTCATTGAAAATCTCTGCTACTGGGTATTAAATGAACTAACTAAGAATATAGTTATGGTGAGCATGGCTGCCTTTTCAGAAATTGTGAATTTCATGGCCCCTGGGTCAGGGGTTCTGGTGTTAGGGTGGGGCTCTATTGATTATACAGTAAAATTGCATTAATACTTTGAAAATCTTCTTCTCTGTTCCTGGGTATTAAATAAACTAACTTAGTGCATAGTTATGAAGAGCAAGAGTGCCTCTTCCAAAATTGTGAATTTAATTGCCCTTTGGTCAGGGGTCCTGGTGTTGGGGCCGGGCTCTATTGATACATATAGTGAAAATGCATTAATTCTTTGAAAATTTTCTTCTCTGCTCCTGGATATTAAATAAACTAAGTACAAAGTTATGATGAGCATGGCTGCCTCCTCAGAAATTATGAATTTCATGGCCCTTGGGTCAGGGGTTCTGGTGTTAGGACAGAGCTCTATTGATTATATAGGGAAAATGCATAAAATCTTTCAAAATCTTCTTCTCTGCACTTGGGTATTTTTCAAACAAAGATAGTACATGGTTATGATACAGAAAAATGCCTCTTCCAAAATTGTGAAGTCATGGCCCCTGGGTCAGGGGATATGGTGAAGGGGGGGGGGCTCTATTGATTATATAGTGAAAATGCATAATTTCTTTCAAAATATTTTTTTGTACTACTGGTTATAAAGCAAAGAAACAAGTGTAAAGTTATGATGTGCAAGGGTGCTTCTTCCAGAATTGTGAGTTCATGGTCAGATGTTCTGGTGTAAGGATGGGGTTTTATTTATTTAAAAATAAAGTGAAAATGCATTTCTTTGAAAATCTTCTATGCTTCTGGGCATATTCGAGGCAAACAGAGTAAAAGTTTTAATACGCAACATGTGCAAGGGTATTTTTACCAGAATTTTGAACACCTGGACCATTTAGTCAAGTGTTCTGGTCCTGGCCAGGGCTCTGTTAACTTGTATTCTGCTGAGCGAAGTTATTCCCCTTTACCATTCACCTTTGATAATTAATCACTGTAAATAATGTACTTGAAAGGTTAATAGAATAAGAGAATTATGCAAGAATATTTATTGTATAATA